CCATCGATTTCACGCAGATGGAGGCGCTCATCAAGAAGTTCTACCGGGACGGGCTCCTCAAGGGAGAGAGGATTGTCAGGCCGACGCTCGGCACCGCCTGAAGCCGCCAGCCCCAAATCGCGGCTTAGGACCCGCTCCGGAGATGATACATAGTACGGTTGCTGCCGGTGGTCGTCTCGCTGTGTGAAAATTGGTCGAATCGCAAATGCCCCGGGGGGGGGCGGGGGGAGGGGCGGGGAGCCTTCGCGAGGACGAGGATGGGGAAGGAGACGAACTGGAGCGACGCGTACTGCGCCACCGACGAGATCGTGTTCGAGATTGCCCCCATCGAGTAGTCCCAGGCGGGGAGAGGCACCGCGACCGGGTTCCCTCCGTGAAGGAGCTTCGAGCCGGCGGCGAAGAGGGAGGCGAGGAGCAAGGTGACGGAGCGGTTGCAGAGCGTGGTGAAGGAGGACTGCTGGAACCGCTCGCCGAGCGGCGCGTCCGGCGAGAAGAAGAGCCGCGTCATCAACTGCTCCTGGTAGTAGCCGTACGCGATGTGAGCCGTCATCACGCCGGCGACGCAAAACGCCATGTCGCGCGTCTCGATCCAGAGCGCGGGCGGCGCCGCGGCCGCGTCCTCCTCGTTGGACGACTTCGCCAAGGTGTCCTCCTCGGCGCCCGGAGAGACTTCCTCCTCCGCTGCGCTGCGCAGCTTCACCACTGCATACCCGGCAGCGTACCCAGAGCCGACCGCCCGCCGGTCCGTGTCGCTAGCGGCTCCCGTCTCCATCGTAAGGAGCGAGGTCGATGAGCGGACAGAGCCGGCAGGACTCCGCTCAAACATTGGCGACACCGCGGGCGACAGCGGTTGCCGCTCCCCCAGCTCCGTGTCTGCTGTGCCGGCCGGCGGGCTGCCTCCGATGCACAGCTCGAGGCACGCAACAGGCGCTGACCGCTGAGCGTGCCAGCGCCTTAAGAGCCTAATTAATCCCGTCAAGACGAGATAGAATATGACCGCGACCAGCGGCGGTATTAGCGCCGAGCCCAGCTGAGGTCCCGCAACTTCTGCGGCTGTGTGCTGCAGCGAAGAGCTCGGCGAGGCTGAAGGCGGAAGCGAGCGTCCGAGCCCTGCCTCACGCATCCAGTCGCGCGAGCCTCTGGCGCCGCGCTGGCGATCGCGCGCCTCACTTCTTGGCGGGCGGTGGCGGATAGTGCTTGCTGGTCGTGACACGGGCGCTAGCCGTGCCTGATTTAGCAGACTTGGGCCGCTGTGAAAAGCACCTGGAGGGGTTAAAAGAATTCTTCCGGTCGTCCAGAGAGGTTTTGAGCGGTGGTACTAAAGGGACAATCGAACATGCGTTGTGTCGGGCTTCCGCCGCCGGGCTTTCAGTCACCCCCCCCCGCTTACCTCACGCTCCACGCGAGCAGGGCAACGGCCGACAGGAAAGCGCCGTACATGGCGGCGAGCAGCACGTAGACGCGGCTGCTCGCCTTTCGAAACTCGCCCAGGCACGCCACGCCCCACACAGTGCCCACAATCGGGAACGCCTGCACGAGGTCGGCGCTCGCAAAGCCCGCCATGTCGCCGCCGACAAACTGGGCGGCATTGCCAATGGCGCAGACGACTCCCGACAGGAGCGCAAGCCAGCGGCCGTCGCTCGGGCTGCTGGCGTACTCGCTCAGCGAGGAGCGCTGCGTGCCAGGGGGCGGCCACCGCATCAGCGCCAGGTTTGCGGCCCACGCGGACAGAGCGAAGGCGACGCAAAAGTACAAGTTTGCCGCAAAGACCTTGAGTGGGGCTCCGCCGCTCTGCCTGACCCAGCCGAGCTCGTCGTTGACGGCGAGGTTGAAGCAAGGGCTAAAGAACCCGAAGCAGAGCCCGCCCGCGGCTGCGACGAACAGGCCGGTGGTGGCGTTCGCGGTCGCGGTCGTGGTGGCCGCGTCCGCCGCCGGCGCAGACTCAATCGTGAGCTCCCCCGCTTGCGGCGTGCTGCTGCCGGCGCCATTGACGAGGGGCGCCTGCGCCCCACAGCACGGCCTGCAGCTGGCGGCGTGCTGCCTCTTCCGCCGCCGCCGCCGCTCCCGCCGGTTGGCTGCCTGCCGCTCGTGGGCCACGTGCGCGGTGGCAGAGAGGGCGATGGCTACGAGAAACGCGGCGACGCCGGCGAACAGGCGGCGCGGCTCGCTCCGCTCGGGCTGCAGCACGTAGTTGATGCTGGTGCCCAGCACGACTGTGAGCGAGCCTTGCAGCGGCAGCACGATGGTCAGCGGAACCCCGAGCAGCAGCGCCCGCTGCATACTGAGGTTCCCGAGCATCAGCAGGCAGCCTCCGACGGCGGCGAGGCCCGCTGAGGCCCAGCTCTCGCTTGACACGCTGAGCGGCTGCCCCGAAGCGAGCGCAAAGGACGTCGCGACCAGCAGCACTGCCGTGGCGTAGTCGAGGTAGGCGTGGCTCGGGTGCCTGCCACGCAGGAACGCGAGGTCGAGCAGCGCTGGCCAGGAGCCGAGCGCGACCAGGCTGAGGAGAAGGACGCCGATGCCGAGATTGCCGCCGTCTGACATTCTGGCTCAGTCCTTCTCGACGAGGTTCTCGACGGAGGCGTGTCGTATTTCCCCTAGCAGGCGGAGGAACCAAGAATCGAACGAGACGGACCGCCCGCCGCGATTGCCGCTGACGACTCACACACACCCCTTCAGATGTTCCTCTTCGCTCGCCGGAAGCCGCCGTCGCGCGGCAGTTCAGGCGCCCCCACGCCGCAGGCGTCTCCTGTGCCCTCCCGTGGCTCGGGCCGCTCCAACTTGGCGCGCGCCGCCTCGTCGCCGCACCTGCGGCACCCGCCCTCGTTTGGGTCGCTGGAGACGCTGGCGTTCGATCAGGACCTCACCCCTGTCCCAAAGTCAGTGACGGTGCGCGTCCTGCTCCTCTTGGTCGCCGGCTTTCACGTCTTCCTCACCGCGGGCGTCGTTTTCGGGTGGACGTCGCTCGCACAGGTCCTCGCGAAGAGGGGAGTGGGCTGCGACGGCGACAACTGCAGTGGGCAGGCCGGCATCTTTGCCTTTATCTTCACCCTCGGGACGATCGGCAACTACACCTCGAACCTGCCCTTTGGCCTGCTCCTCGACACGCGCGGGCCGCAGGCGTGCTGCGTTCTCGCTGCGCTCGTGCAGCTCACTGGGGCGCTCGCGATGTACGCGCATGCCGCCGGCGGCGAGAGCCTTGTTCCGGCCTACATCGGCTTCTTCCTGCTTGGGTTTGGCGGACCCGGCGTGCAGAAGGCCACGTTCCACATGGCGCACCTCTTTCCCTCCGCCTCTGGCTCTCTCATCGCCGCCTCCACGGCGCTCTTTGACGGCGGCTCTGTCATCTTCGCCCTCTTCTACTCGCTCACGGACGCGGGCTCGCTCGACCTCGAGACGTGCTGGCTCGGCTACGCCGGCGCTGTCCTGCTTGTGCTCGCCTCTGGCGCTGTGCTCTGGCCCTCGGCGCCCTTTGAGCCGCCCCCGGACACCGATGTCGACGCTGTCTTTGGCAACCCCGACGACGACACCGCGACAGCGCTCTCCAAGCGGTCGCTGAAGCGGCAACTGCGCAGCCCACCCTACCTCTACCTGGTTCTCTTCGCCTCGGTCCACGTGTGCCGCCTCAACTTTGCCGTCGCCACCTTCCAGGAGCAGGTCGGCTCGCTCGGCTTCGGCGCGAGCGAGGTGGACCAGTTTGTCGTCATCTTTGGCCGGCTGCTCCCGCTTGGCTTCGTCGGCATGCCGCTCATCGGGTACCTGCTCGACACCTCGACGCCGTTGGTGGTGTTTCTACTCGTCAACGCTGCTGGCGTGCTCAACAGCTCCCTCCTTCTCGTCCCTCACTCCCGGCCCGCGCTGCTTGGCGCCATGTGCTGCGTCGCCGTCGGGCGGCAGTTCGTCTACTCAACCTTCTTCTCCGAGCTGCAGCGCCTCGCCTCGCCGCGCACCTATGGCACCCTCGCAGGCTCGAGTCCCTGCCCGCGCATTCGCATGCCCCGTGTCTGTGCCGACTTGATGCCGGCCGCGCACTGCCCTCCCCGCGCCGCCCGCTTCGAGCTGACGGCCCGCACCGCCACTGCGCCGCCACTGCCGCTAGGCCTCGCCAACCTGTGCGTCGCTGCCACGGGAGTGCTCCTCTCGCCTCTCTCCTCCCTCTCCACCAGCACGCTGGCCCCTTGGGGCGAGTACGCGTTTGCCCCCGCCAACTTGCTCATGATGCTCCTCGTGCTGCTGCTCTTTACACAGCCCCTCTCGTGCTGGAGGGAAGCGCGGCGCGCCCGCACGTCCGACGGCCCGACGTTCGTGGCAGTGGCGCGTGGAGCCCCCTCGCCCCTCGCGCCCGCCTCGGTCCTTGAGCGTGGCGCACCCAATTCCTCGCTGCGCGTTTCCCTGCTCACCGAGCCACAGGCGCCGCCGTAAAGAGAGAGCTCCGCAGACCGCGCGTGATGCTCTCTCCCAGGTAGATCGCGCACGCGCGAATTATGCAGCCGCCGCGCAGGGGGGCACGTGGCGGAAGCGCAATCCACACACACACACACGCACGCACGCACGCACGCACACACACACACACACCACACACACGCACGCACACACACTTACACGGCCGGGTTTTCCTCCCGGTCTCGTCCTTGCCCGTGCACACCGAGGTCACACCCCGTGCAGCGTGCTTGCGCGCGCTCTCGTCAGCAGAACACTATCGTCTTCTCGTTGCACGCGAAGCTAACCAATACATCCTTACATGCGTCCTTTTTGATAGAAAGACTCTTGCGACTGCGACGTGCGAGCCCAGTGAGACCGAGCGGCCGGCTCTGCGTCGCGCGGGCTGCTCTCTGACCACTCTGAGGACTGAGCACCCTTCGTCGGGGGCGCGGAGGTCCCATCCCCGTGTGTGCTCTCGGCGGCTTGGGCGGACCCCACGCATCGACCAACCCGCGCACATGCACACATCTCAGAAGAGGTTCCCGCACGGCTGAAGGGTCTGCTCCCCTCTTCTCGCAACTCGGCCACCAGCCACCGTGCTCCAGCTGCCCCTCAAGCGATCGCCCGGTCGACGAGCTTAGCGGTGTAGAAGGCGACGCACGCCGCGGCGCCGCCAATCGCGAGCACCTGCGAGACGGCGGCGCTGGTCACAGCGGCCCCACTCTGCCTCCCCACACTCCGCCTCCCTCTGCGCTCGCCTCTGCGCCAGAGTGCCACCAGACGTCGTCGACAAAGCGCGCCTTGATGCAGCCGAGCGAGAAGAGCGTCACCTGCGAGGGCGGCAGGCGGGCGAGGGGGCGCGGTCGACGGAGAGGCCACGCGGGGCCGGTGGGCACGAGAGCCCGTCGCACGGCGGTGATGACGACAGAGAGGGCAAAGTAGCGCTGCGGCGCGACAGCGCTGCCCGCAAAGGAGGTCAGCAGCGCCGCAGAGATGTAGCCCAGGAGAGGCATCGACCCAAACGCAGTGAATGCGAGGAACATCGCGACGCCCTGCGGCCAAAGGGAGAGAGGCAAGCGCCCACGGGTGAGCACAAACCGCCCCGCCGTCGCCGCCTAGCCAGATTACCTCCGCGACACCTTCTCGAGCGGACCAGGCTCGTCAGGTGGCGCGCCGGCTGCCATCTGCGCCTCCGCCTTGGCCGACAGGTACTCTCCCGCCGCCATCGACAGCGCGTCAGCGAGCACCGTCGAGATGCCAATCACAAGCGTGAGCGAAGTTGAGGTGTGGCGCGAGCCAGCGACCGCCGCGAGCAGCGCGAACGTGGTGAGGATGCCGTCCATACCACCAAAGACGACGCCACGCACGTGCCTCTCGAGCCGCATGGCCTTCTGCCCCTTGGGTTCGGTCCGGGCGGCAAACAGAGTCGCGGTTGCGCCGTGCAACGCGGCGCCAAAGGTGCCGGAAATTCTCCCGCCGCCGCGCAGCTGCGTCAGCACGTGTCGGCTGGATGTGTCCCGGGTGTCCGGCCGCAGCAGAGTACGCGGCGTGGCCGAGGCCGCCGCACCAACCACCGCCAGAAGCAGCGCGCTCCTGGACATGACCGGGCAATTCTTTTTTCGCATTAGCGCGTGCCTTCGATCGCGGAAGTCCGCCGTGATATCCTTTGGCCGCGTTGGGTTGCGAGGATTGTCGGCCGTGATGAGGCAGTGGATGACGCGGGCGTGGCGGCGTGCCCCGTCCTCCCATCCCGCCTCCGCTCCGGCTGTTCATGAAGAGATTTCTTCTTCATGGCACATGGGACATGGCAAGTGTGTGTACTTATGAGGGTTCCAAGCGAACCAGTTTAGACCATGTTTAGACCCAGTTTAGACCACGGCTGAACACGAACCGGATTAGTCCTGTTTACGATAAACTGGGTCTAAACAGGGGTCGGCCTCCAGTCGGGGAGATTAAACACATACAGTGGGTTGCGGGCATTAAGAAAGCGTGGCATTAAGAAACCACGCCGAGCGATTTCCGCAAAAATCTAAGAAACCACGGCGCGCCGCAGGCGCGGCTCCGAGAAAAGGCCAGACACGAGTGTGAACAGGAGCTCCGAGCTCAAAATTTCTCTTCGCCTGCGCGGCGCGCGCACTTGGCATTTTACAAGTCCTCTGCGGTGTTTTGAGCGAGTGGATGGATGCGTGTGCGTCTTGAGTCGGTGGCAGACTGGCTGGCGGCATCGGATCCGTCCGGGACCGCAGCTCCGACCCGCTCTTGGCCTCTTCCGACGAGGGGGAGGGGGCCGGCTCTGACACCTTTGACCTACCTTGGGAGCTAAGAAACCACGGCGTGGGGTGGGTGAGGGGTGTGGAAAGGCTTAGAAACGGCGGCGTGCCGCGAAATCCTGTTTTCTTAATGCCCGCAACCCACTGTACCAGGTTTAGCCCGATTTAGGTTTAGCGTGCAGCCGCCATCCTCCGCCTCGGGCCGGACAGCACACCGGGCACACTTGCACCGCGCAACAACAGCCTCGCCGGTCAGGCGCACGGTGTTGTCGGGCAGCGTGATGATCTCGTCCATGCCGTCGTCAAAGTGCATGAGTGCATCAGCAGCCGGTCGTGCTCGCTATTGGTCGGCCAATGGGCGATGATGGTGGCGGGGAACCACAGCGCAGTGCCCAAAGGGCGTCGTGAAGCTCGTGCCGACGGGCACGAATGCGCTGCTTGCGGAGATGAAGCCCGTCAAGATGGACACGCCGATCAAGGTGTCGGACGACGCGGACCCCGAGGGGCTGACTGCGGACCTCGTGTTCCGTTTTGAGCACGAGCAGGAGAAGCTCGTGCACAGGCGGCAGCAGGCATGCTATCGGTCTGTGCAGGGATTCATTGCCTGGGCAGGGCAGGGGAGCTCGAGCTGACAATGACGCTCAACAAGTTTTGTGTGCTCGCTGAGTACGAAAACGTGGCAGGAATTTACCACATCAGAACTGAAAACACGAAACGCTGACGGCGCCCGCCTTGCGACAGCCTGTCGGCGCTGCTGACCGTGCCGTGCTGCGCAATTGACCACCTGCATAGCTCGCGGCCTTAGTATCAAGCCTTCAGTGCGACCTGATCGTACGGCCAGTAGGAAGGTGTCCTTCCAGCCGCGTGCACGCTTCTGACGCAATGCCAAGTGGGCCAGCACCGGTCGCACATTGTGGCAAGAAGAACTCCATCCTGAAGAACCTCGGACGGGCCTCGGGACATACGTCCAAGGCGAGCAAGGACTGCGCGGTCCTCAAGAAGCTCGAGACCTTTGTGAGCAAGTACCAGGGCAACGTGCCCGCCCTCCGCGCTCTGATTGACGACTGCACGCTGCACGCGGGCGGGACTGAGGGCGCGACGTCGGGCGCGGCGACATACCAGCTGGCGGCGCCTGCGCCTGGCAAGAAGCGGAAGCACGTGGATTTCAACCCGGCCGCAAAGATGCGCTTGCTAGTAGAAGTGGTGTTGGGTTGAGCAGTGGTACTCACTGCCCCTCACCAAATGCTTGCAGGCGCTGTTCTCCTGGCGCCTCGCTCCCGACGTACCGCGCGAAAGATGAGGGGACGCGCGGCGGCTTCTGCAAGCAGATCTTCGACACCACGACACGGCGAAGCTGTCGGAAGAGTCCCTCGATGCGGCCGCGTGGACCCTCGAGACGGTCAAGATTGCCATGCACAACCTCGACCAGCGCGAGAAGAGGCACGGACGCTGACGCTTGCGCGTGCCGCTGAGAGCCGCGTCTCTCTCGTCACAGAGGGGAGCTGGGGCGGGGGGAGGTGCGCGCTGGGGGGGGGGGGGGGGGCATTACACATACCAGATTTAGACCCAGTTTATCGTAAACAGGACTAATCTGGTTCGTGTTTAGCAGTGGTCTAAACTGGTCTAAATTGGTTCGCTTGGAACCCTCCTGTACTTCTTGGCTTGGGCGGCACTCTCATGCTGAAATTCTGCAAAAACCTGGCCGGCCCCTGCCCTGCCCCTAGCTACCTACCTACCTACCCACCTTACTTATGGGAAACTAAAAAAGAAATCATCCGCCGCGTGCAGGGGTGGGGGACTATACCAACTAAAGAGTAAAGTGATGGCTGGTGGTACTCTCCTGCAACCATAGTCCTTCCTGTGACATGGCAGGCCACTCTCAAGCCCTACAAGCACCAGATCACCCATTTGGGGAGGGTTGACATCGTGATTTCCGCGGAAATTTCTTTTTCTGCTCTGAAAAAGTTCCAGCGTGAAGAGAGGGAACCCCCCGACGGGAGGGCCCAGACCTACCCTACCTACCCCGGCATGAGTGCCGCCCAAGCCCCAAGCAAGAAGTACACACACTTGTCCATGGCGTTCTTTCTTTAACCGGCCGTGACAGCTGGTCCGACACCCAGGTCCGTCACAGCACCAAAAACTGTGGGGGGGCGCGGGGGCCCTAGAGGGTACCCATGCGGGGGGGAGATGGGGTCCCACGGCCCGCCGCAGGCGCCGATTTTTTCGGATTTTTTTTCGCGCGATTTTTTACTGAGCTTAGCCTTCGATGTTATGAAACAACGCAAGGCGGACATGGCACTTGGAGCACTTGGAGTGCAGTCGGCAACCGCACACCCAGGGCCGGGGAGCTGAGAAGCGCACCCAGCGGGCCGGATGATTGGCATCGGGTTGCGGGCAAGAGAGCCCTAGCCCAGGGGGTGCGCGTTCGCAGGGAAAGGGCCGTAAAGTAAACACGGGTCTCCGAGGGTTAGTCCGCGCTCCAGGTTTCCCCTAGCAGCGGAGCGCCCCCTCTACTCGGAGCTAATAAACACCAGACACGCACACGACGTACATCCTCACTCGACGTCACCCCTCGAGGCTTCCCGGTCTGGCCTCCCCCCCCTCGGTCTGGAGGGGCCCTCTTATCCCCTCGGTCCTCCCCCCACTCGCTTTCCGCTGGTTGGGCAACGGATGCGGGGCCCGACCCCCCCTCCTAGCCTTTTTCGGCCGCGGCCCCGCCGCCGTCTCGCCCACTCTGCCTGCTCCTGTTGACTCCACCTCCGGTGGTCCCATGCCCAACTCCTCGGGCGAGGGCGGCGGCACTGGATCGCCACGCCGCCCCTCCCCGTGAAGTGAGGCCGGCTCTCTTCGGTCGAGGACTCGTGCCCGCCCCCGCGGTCTCTCTATCGTCCTCGGCTCGTCCGTACGTCCCGATTCTACCCGCAGAGGCCGCGTCAGCTCGTCTCTCACCTCCTCCGACAGCTGACCCCAAGCCCCCCCTGGGGCCCTCCGGCCTCGGCCTTCCGGCTCGCCGGCGGGCCCGTTATCGTACTGCGGCCCCTCCCCTCTCCCAGCTCCTCCCTCCGGGTACTCTAGCCTCCGGCGGGGTGGTCCCGGACCCCCCAGGTTATGCCGAGCGGGTCCATACGGTGGCGGCCCCGCCGGCGGCAGGGGTGGAGGCGGTAGCAGGGGCGGCGGGTACGGTGGCGGCCCTCGCCATGGCATATCGCTCTCTTACTTGTTTCGGAATTCGGCGTATTGCGGCCATGCTATCACGCCTTGCGACAGCCTGTCGGCGCTGCTGACCGTGCCCTGCTGCACAATTGATCACCTGCATAGCTCGCGGCCTTAGTATCAAGCATTCAGTGACGACCTGATCGTACGGTCAGTAGGAAGGTGTCCTTCCAACGTGTGCACGCTTCTGGCGCAATGCGCGTCGCCTCGGATTGGCTGCTGGCACTCTCGAGGCTATGCCTACGCAGCCTCGCGCGCATGGGCAGTCAAGAGGGACCACGCACCTTCTCAGGACAGCGCCGGTACCTCTCTCTTGGACCGGCAAACTTGGTGGTCTCGTGTCACCAATGTGGGACCAGTGCGGCATCGCGCCATCGACAGCTCTGAACTGCGCCTCACCACTGACCGGGAAGGCCGCCAAGTGGGTCAGCACCGGTCGCACATTGTGGCAGCAGTCAGCAGTGCATGTCTGATAGCTAGAGCAGCAGCGTCAGGGTCGCAGGGTCGGATAGTTAGTGTCAAGCCTCTCGCCCGGCCGGCCGTGTGCAGACGTGGGCCTGTCTGCTGTCTGGAGTGATCTGTCGGCGGTCAGTACGACCGATCAGGTCGGAGTTTTCTGATGGTTGGAGGGTCTATCTGTATGTACTCCTCGAGATCTCTCCAAATCTGCCCTCTACTTAACCGTACTTAATCGGGAAGTCGGTGCTCTGAGCGACTCTGAGCGCCGGGGCCCCGTTTCCGCACTGCGGCGCGGCGCACGGTGCCTCCGGGGGCCCCCGCGCCCCCCCAGAGACCAAAAAGAGCTAAGAGGCACAGAAAAGAAAAGCTTCTCCCCCCCCCCCCCCCCCGGTTTGCTCACTTTCTTATTCTCTGTGGTAGTGCTAGCACGCGCCAGTCCGCACCTGTGTCGACGGCCTGTCCGCTGTGAGAGAGAGTTGATTTTGTTCATTCTTATGTTCTAACAACAGAAGATAACAAGCGCTGAACAGCGAATACGGACGTGTATTCCATGCGCGCGACACTCCGTTGTGTCGTCGCCAAAGCAAAGCTGCTGGCAGCAGGCTATGAGTGGACAGCCAATGACACCATCTCTGTCATTTCCTCCTCCCCCTTCGAAGCGCCGCCGTCACGCTGCGCATGCCGGTCGAAGAGGTGTCGGGCCCACAGATTGAACTCGGCGAAGCTGCCAAAGCTCTCCTCGATCACGCTCAGCAGGGCCTGCTGGTCCTCTGCCTGGGCGCACTGCGCCCGCGCCGCGTCGAACGAGGCGAACGAGGCGGCGACGTCGGCGAGCGTGGAGCTGGCCCGCTCGGGCGGCGAGTCCGAGTGGCGGGGCGCGGCGGCCGCGAAGGGGAGGACGGCGATCCGGTCCAGCGGCGCGCCCATCTTGAGAAAGGTGAAGAGCTCCATGACGCACCAGAGCCGGCTGCTGTACGTCGGCCCCGCGATGACGAGCAGCGTCTCGCAGCCCGCTAGGAAGATGGGCAGGCACGCGAGCGACTCGCGGATATTGCACTGGTCGATGCACAACCTGTCCAGCCAGACGTTCGGGGAGCGGCCATGCTTGAGCCGGAAGGCGGCGGCCCAACCGCAGAGTGCCTCCCACTTCGCGCCAGGCGGGTCGTGCCAGCTGTGGCTGATGAACGCATCGCACTGGCCCAGGCCGCGCTGCTCGCTCCGGTCGTCGAGCGCCGCGCCGCCACAGGTCGTGGAGCGCGCCGAGCGTGGCGTCTGCCGCCGCTGCGACGTCTCGAGCGAGCCGCGACTCCGCGACTTGGTGGAGCCGCGACTGACCGAGTGGGCGCTGGCGCGCCGCGACAGCGGCACGAAGTCGTCGGGCCGCAGCTGGTCGAAGGGGACGGTGTGGAAGTGGCCCTCGGCGAAGTTGAGGAGCTCGTCTACGTCGACCCGCTTCGTCCCCGAGCGGAAGCTGAACAGGCCGGCGAGGAGGGCCGCCTCTCGCTCCTCGCGAGTGGAGCCGAGCCGCGAGAGTGTTGACAGCGCCCATGCTCGCGGCCGATCGCCGAGCATGAGCGCGGCGGCGACACCAGTGGTGCCAACTGCAACCAGCGGGACAAAGAAGTCGGAGCTCACAAAGTAGGGGTCGAACAGGCAAGTGTACAGCGGCGCGAACACCAGGAGGGAGACCCCACCGCACCAGCCAAAGACGCGAAACGCAAAGATGTCCCAGGCGAGCGCCCGGCGCGGCGGGTAGCCCGCGCCGTGCGGCTCCTCCAGCGCGGCCTGCCACGCTCGAAGGAGGACCGGCAAGAGAATCGCGGGCACCACCAGGCACAGGGCGGCCTCGAAGAGGAGCAGGTACGCGATCGGCGGTATGCACGCCACCGACAGCGCAAGGTAGATGCACGCGCCGCACGCACCCGTGTTCATCAGCGCGTCCGCCGCCATGGCGCCGAAGACCGTGGCTCCGTCGGTCGGCCGCAGTGAGAGCTGCCCCAGCGTGTGCGCCGGGGCCCAGAGCATCAGCGGCAGTAGCGGCGAGCCGAGCAGCACGACTGGCCAAGAGCGACCGTAGAGCGACAGGAAGATGGGAGTAAAGGCCCAAAAGAAGGACGAGAGGCCTAGCACCTGCAGCAGCATCTGCACCTGCACACGCGCCCGACGTCGCGCGGCCCCGGCACGGCTCAGCTTGGCCGCCACCGTGCTCCGGCTCGCCGCCGACTGCGGCTTGGGGACGAGCGACTTGGCCGAGCCGAGCGCCGAGCGCCGTCGCCACGCTCTGAGCCTCTCGCAGATCAACGACCTGGCGGTGCCCCGCTCAGCACCGCTGCCGGCGGCATCGCTGACGGCGCCGCTGCTAGCGGCGTTGGTGGCGCCGCTGTTCGTGGTGTTGACGCTGAAGCTGACGGCACAGCTCCTGCCCACGCCGCCGCTCCCGCCGGCGACGCTGCCGCCGCCCGCTGAGCTCACGCCACCGCCACGGCGCAGACACCGGCGACCGGAGCCGCGGGAACCGCGGTCGCGGGCAGAGCGGATACGCAGCAGGTTCCAGGCGCAAAGAAGAGCGAATGTGACCCCGCTACAGCCTCCAAAGTAGGCGAGCATGCCAATGGCCGCCCTGCTGATGTTCATGTTAGCCTTGTAATCGGCACGGTACGTCGGGGCGAGCGTGCGGTGCAGCTGGCATATGCACGGGTACTCTCGGAAGCAACCCTCATCCCGCCAGCCGCCACTTGCCGTGACTGCGGCGCAGTCTTGCATGTAGAACAGGTCGTCTGGCTCACCAGGCAGCCAAGCAGAGTAGCCGGCGTCGCATCCCTCCACCGCCGGCTTCCAACCAGCCGCTGGGCCTTGATCGTTGGGCGACTGGTGCAATCCAAACCAATAATTCGGGCCGCTGTATCCATACACGCCAACACCAAGGAGGGTCTCTGCCACAAACTCGACAGCGCCATCAGAGTCGAGGCACGCAAGCGAGGCCGGATCGCCGGGGAGGGACGCGCACGCGTCCGCGCAGCCGATGTGCGTGTGCCGCGTCTCGGTGACCAAGAAGCTTTGGTTGCCTGCCTTCCAATGGGTCCAACTGCCTGCGGGCACCATGAGGCCTGCGCCGCTGAATCCCTGAGCTTGCGCCGCCACTGCCTCCTACGAGTAGGCTGAGAATCCCTGAGCTTGCGCCGCCACTGCCTCCTACGAGTAGGCTGAGAGGTCCTTGGAGTTGTACTGGAGTACTTCAGCTGGGATTCATATGAGAAAAGAATTTTACAAAAGAATTTTGCAAAAAGCTCTCTAACAACACTAGGCGCGAGGAGAGCTCGATAAACTCGAGGGGCCAAAATATGCCGCGAGGAGGGCGGAGCTGCGCCGAAAGGCGGGAGAAGCCGCGAGAGCAAGGGATCGGCAGGCGGCGGCGGCGTCGCAGAACGAGGCAGAGGAGAGCGACGCGACAGAGGAAGAAGCGACAAGGGAGAGAACGACGAGAGTGGGACGACCGCGAGGTGGCATGAAGGTTGCAGCGAGAATCGGCGAGAGACTGCGAAGAGAGATAGGAAGAGGCAGACTCCCTAGGGTGGGCGACGGCTAGCGCACCACACCCCTCTCCTTAAAATCCCTGTGTGGTGGCGGCGTGCCGTCCTCCCATCCCTCCCTTGGGTTGTCCGTTTTCTTTCTTTTTAGGCACGGGACTGGCGCGCACTGGCACTAACACAGGTACACCACGGGAGCCGCCTAACTAACTAAAAGCGACTCCTGCGAAAGAATTGCAAAATCTTCACGCACACCTGGGCCACAGGACTGGCACGCGACTGGCACACATGCTGTGGCGCGTTGCGACCTGTGCCTTTATCTCCCATCCCTCCCTCGCGCCTCGGGGGTCCTCGGAAATCTATTCTTCCTTTCTCTTTTGCACCAGTCCATGGCCTCCGCCAGAGAGACGGCTAACCTCGAAATCTGCACCTTGGATGGCTGCGCTCCCTGTTTCGCAGCCATCCGTGCTAAGGATGGCTGGCACGCCTAGATCTCAGCCATGCACTCCTACCGGATGGCTGAGAACTAGGCATGCCAGCCATCCTTAATTCACATGGTTGCAATTAAAGCATCCTGGCCACTCCGCCTCCCAGCACGCGCCATTCTGGCTGCGTTCCCGTCAGCGCAGCCATCCTCCGGCCGATGGCTGCGATGGCTGTGTCCCGGCCATCTCCGCCCGGAGGATGGCTGCACTGGCTGGAAGGCAGCCAAAATGGCGCGTGCTGGGAGGGCGGAGTGGCCAGGATGCTTTAATTGCCTAGTTAATTGCAACCGGATAGCCCCATGTGTCCTTTTAAAAAGATTTTTGTCCTAACTAAAAGGACAGGTTCATGAAGGGCGCCACGCGCGCCCCCGCTCGCCGGCCCAGTCGTACCTCCCGCACTCCACTTGCCCTTCGCGACTTCCCCGTGCCCGGTGGTGCCGGGGGACGACAGTCGTGGCCTTGTTTTGGACGTTACGTGCCGCCGAAACTTGATCACCGATCACCGTCTGAATAAGTAACTCCTAGAAAACTCTCCAAAGGCCGGTGATCGGTGATCAGTGACCAGCCGGTGATCATGCAGCTAGTGGGTGGTGCCCCGGCCGACGTGAGCGTCATCAACCCGCCCGCAACTACCACCTGACGTACGCCGCACTCGGCCGCGGCGAGCTCTCGAATGAAGACGTGCCGAGCCAGCTCACCGCCAAGCGAGCGCATCAAATGCCGCTCGCTACAACAATGGCACCCTCCCGCAGTACATGCCACGCATCTTCACCACCAACAGCCAGCTGACAGAGGAGGACCACATCCTTCCCCGAAGGCGCAACGCCAAGCAGCAGCAGTTGATCGCCGCTACCGCAAGATTGGTCCGCTGACAGAGCCGCTGCAGCGACTGGGACGCACGCTCAAAACCGGGCGGGCTCATAGTGAAGAAGATGGTGAAGGGAGTGCTTGGGCGCGTGTCCAAAGGTGCCAAGCGGCCTGCAGCGCCCTCCTCCCAGGCTGCAGCCCCCCCCCCTACGCAAGCGGCAGGTGATTGTAGACAGTGATGAGGACTAGCGGGCGTAAAGGACAAGCGGTTGCGGGTACGTCTCCGGGGGTCGGTTTTGAATGTGTTGCTTGGGCTGGGTCGTGACCCCGCCGCCTGGAGGCTGTCAGGTGGACATGGTAGCATACCTCAATGCCCAGGAGAGGCTTGCAGAGAGCTCAATGGGAGCGAAAACGCGAGATCAAGGTGTCCTTTTGTAAAGGACAAGTCCTTTAAAAGTCATCGGCCTATCCGCAACCATCCGGTAGGAGTGCATGGCTGAGATCTAGGCGTGCCAGCCATCCTTAGCACGGATGGCTGCGAAACAGGGAGCGCAGCCATCCAAGGGGTGATGCAGATTTCGAGGTTAGCCCAGAGAGACCCAGCCTGAGTGTGCTCTGCCGTGAGAAGCGTGTTTGTGATCTAAGAGACGGCGGATGGGGATTTTCGACGAATTCGTATTGAATTCCTTTTGCTGACACGAGCCACAGACACAGACACGAAGACACACACCAGCTTGAGGCGCCAACAGACAGACAATAACATCGTCGTACGATCGAGGTCAGTCACAGTGTCACTGTTTCTTGGCTGAGAGTTTCTGCAGCTCAACCGGCGCCGCCTTGGCCCACCACCACCGCGTGGGCCGGGCCGCAAGCGCGCACAGCGCCTCGAGCGCGCACCGCACGGGGCCATAGCGCGGGAAGACGAGGCAGTCACTCAGCACGCACACCAGCGCCACACCGCCGGCGAGCGCGACGACGGGGATGGTCGGCACGTGGCACCAGCGCGTCTGGCAGTAGGTGAAGAGGAGGCAGGGCAGCCAGTGGCCAGCGCGCGTGTGCAGCGCGCGCAGCGACCACCGCGCAAGCCGACGCGCCGCGTCGCGCCACCCAGCCGCCGTGCGGCGAGTGCAGCACCCCATGCCCCGCGCCCCTCCCGCGCCGTCTTGCTCCTCGTCGGGCCGGAAGAGCTCCGCCCACGTGATCCAGCGGTTGGTGATGAAGGCCAGCCGCGCGGAGAGCACCACCGACGAGACGCACATGAAGCGGACGCCTACCGGCCGCGCCTCCGCTGTGAGGCGGTGAGGCGGTGAGGCGGTGCGGCGGTGCGGCGGTGAGGCGGTGAGGCGGTGAGGCGGGCAGGCTGAGGCTTAGGCCACCGCCGTGAGGAGGGCAAGCTCGGTGGCCTAAGCCGCGGGGGGTGGGTGGGGGGGGGGGGGGGGGCGCCGAGCTCGCGCGGCTGCTGCTCCTCAAAGGCGAGCACGAGGGCGAAGGTGATGAAGAAGCCGTGCAGCGCGCCGGTGAGCCACCAGCGGAAGAGGGCGGTGCCCGAGAAGAGGCTCTTGTGCCGCACGGCGAGCGGGTCCGAGATCGAGTCCTCGACGGCGTAGGCGAGCGCGGTGAGGAAGACGGTGCCGTTCCAAAAGACCATGTACACGGGGTCGGTCGGGTCGCGCCACGAGGCGTAGCGGTTGTGCACCATCCACGCCTCGAGCGCGCACGCCGTCATCGCGTGCTTGTAGTAGACCCACTTCATCGTCGTCGAGAGGAGCACCATCGAGCGGACCGCGTGCGAGAGGAGCAGCGGCCTGCGAGCGGGCGGCAGAGGGCGACGGTGAGGGAGGGCGGAGGGCGGCGCGAGCGCATGCACAGGGGGGGTAGGCGGGCAAGCCGCCTCAGCTGCTTCCACTCTGACGCGCGGAAAGAGGCGGCCTGCGCGGCGAGGTGCGACTCGGTGCCGCGGATCCCGACGGAGACGTGCGACGCGCGGATCATCCCCACGTCGTTGACGCCGTCCCCGATGGCGAGCGCCATGAGCCGCACCCGCGTCTGCACGAACCAGGCGATGAAGGGCTTCTGGTCGACCGACACCTGCGTCCATTAATGAGTTAGTCAGTTGACTAGAGTTGTCATCAACTAATTTTGAATCTGGTCGACCGACACCTGCGCCCACACCAGCGTGTGCGCCCCCGAGTGCAGCAGCTGCACCATCGCGTCGACCACTGCGCGCGCGAGCGTAGCCTCGGCCGAGGCGGGCGGCGGCGGCGCGCAGCCAGGCACGCGCCGCCGCAACGCCGACGCCGCAGCGGGCGGAAGCACCGCCGCCATCGCGGCGGCCGCCGCGCGGCAGCACTGCTGCGCGACGCCGCCCGCGCGCAGCCTCCTCTCCTCCTCCTCCAGCGCCTCGGTAAGGCGGCGCAGCGTCGCCGTCGTCGCGGCGCCAAAGAGGTAGCAGTACTCGCCGAGCCGCGCCGCAGGCAGCAGCATGGTGATCGCGTCGAGCAGCTCCGTCGGCGACGAAGCGGGCACGCGCACCAGCGGCCGCGCGCCCGCCGCCGCCGCCTCTCCCCGCTCCACGTCCGCCTCGGACCCCGCCGGCGGCGCCGCCGGCGCGGTGGGGCGCGTGCCCGGCCGCACCGCGAGGCCGGTGGCGTAGGCGATGTTCTCGGCGGCGGCGTCCGAGTCGCCCGTCACCATCATGAGCCGGTACCTAGGAGGTTCCTAGAAGGTTCCGAGAAGGTTCCTAGAAGGTTCCGAGTCACCATCATGAGCCGGTACCTAGGAGGTTCCTAGGAGGTTCCGAGAAGGTTCCTAGAAGGTTCCGAGTCACCATCATGAGCCGGTACCCCTCGGCGCGCAGGGCGGCGATCGCCTCGGGCACGGCCTCCTGGTACGGGTCCTCCATCGCACTCGCCTGCGCGACGACCACACCGCGGTAGCATGATCAACTAGCATAATCAACGACGCCATCGTGCGTCATGAGGGATTGTGATTGTGATTCTCGACTCGCCTGCGTGACGACCAAGCCGCGGTACGCGCGCGACAGCACGGCGGCGCGCGCCTCCTCCGACGGCGCCGACACGTACTCGGACACGAGCGCGTCTCCCTCGGCCGCAGAGAGGCGCCGCTCTCCGTGCCACCAGATGCGCACCGAGCCGCGCCAGTCGAAGCAGCGGTACAGCACGCCGCTCGCCGAGGCGGAGCCGCCCTCGAGCAAATCGATGATGCCGCTGTTCGGCGGGTGGACGGCTCGAAAGAAGGAGCCCGCGCCCTGCGCCACGAGCGTGCACCCGCCGTCGGCGTCGGCGCGGGACGACGCGCGCGACGAGGAGCCGCCCCAGAGTCCGAGAAAACCGCCGCTCTCGCCCCTCCCCGGCGACGGCGCCCCGCTGTCCAGGCTGCCCGTGCGGGCGAGCGCCTCCACCTGGCCCGCGCTCTGCGCCGGCGCGGCGGCGCGCAGCGAGCCGCCCCGCAAGAGGACGCCCTTGGCGCGCAGCTTCAGGTCGAGCGGCAGCAGCAGCCGCACGTGCATCGCGTGCACCTCGTCGCCCCCTCCTCGCTGCAAATACTCCCCCACCCCGCTCACCGGCGGCGGCGGCGGTAGCAGCGGCGCTGCTCGCGACCAGAGACCGCCGTCGCCGCCGCCGCCGCCGTCTCGGGCGTCGCTGCCGCCGTCGCGCCACGCCGCACTCGCCTCGAGTGCCGACACGTCGATCCGCACGTCGCCGCCGCCGGGCGCACCGCTGCGCAGGGCCTGCCCGCCCCGAGTTGGGAGAGTGAAGACGATGCGAGCGCCGCCTTGCCCGTCGGTGACGTTGCGGAGCAGCGTGCCCGGGTGTCGCTCGAGGAAGGACGCCTCCTCCGCCTCTCCAATCTCGACGCCGGGCAGCTCGCCCGTCGTCGCGGACCAAGCGAGGGCCATGTCGAGCGCCGCTCCGGCGGCGGCGTCGCCCTCGGCGTCGTGCAGAGGCTCCCCCTTGGGCGGGAAAGGCACCGGCGGGAGGAGCCCGATCCCGCCGCCGCCGTCCCGCTCCACGCCCGCCCTCCCAGAGCCGCGCCTCGCCGACTCGGGCAGCGGCGCCGTGGGCGGGCGGGCCGAGAAGACCGCCCACGAGTCGCAGCCGTCGCTCGTCGAGAGGCGGCGCGCGGCCGCCTGCGTGCTCATGCGGTTGACGGTGAGCGTGCCCGTCTTGTCGGTGAGGACAGCCGCCGAGGCCGTCTCGGTCGCGATCTCGCCCAGCCGCGCGACCGCCTAGGAACCTTCTAGGAACCTTCTAGGGACCTTCTAGGAACCTTCTAGGGACCTTCTGGGCCAGCCGCGCGACCGCCTGCCACACGTTGACTTGCATGCCGAGCGACGCGTACCACGCGGCGGCTTGCAGCGAGCACGACACCATGATGAGCTGCTTGAGCGACATCGGGACGAGCCTGTGGCGGGGCGGGGGAGGGCGGCGGGTGGCGGCGCGCGGCTGTCGGGCGCTCCATCGTGGGGTCGGGGCGGGGTAGGGGCGGGCGCGCGTGTTTTCGTAGATGAGGTTGCCAAAGAAGACCTTGCCGAAGGATCGGCCTCCCTCGGCACCGGTGGCGAAGATCGCGAGCGTGTTGTCGTAGGTGAAGGCGAGGAGGAGGGTGACGAGGAGCACGCCTGCGGGGGGCGGCACGCGAGGGGCGGCGGGGTGCTAGGTTGTGGGGTGCTAGGTTGTGGGGTGCTGGGTGTGTGGGTGGTCTGTGGTGCGTGTGGGTGGGCGCGTGTTTTGGGCGTGTGGCTCGGAGGCGCGCCGATGCGAGACATGCGGCGCAGCATGACGGAGGGCGGCGCGTCCGTGGCGAGGGAGCACTCGCGGTACATCTTGCACTCGTGGCCGAGCCGGACGGCCACCCCCTCGACGAAGGGCGGGCTGCCGTCGGTGCGCGCCAGAGTGATGGACGTCCCTCGGAAGAGCTGCACCTGCAACAGAGCAACAGGCGACGCCGCGCTGAGGCGGCGCCGGAGGTGGCGCGGCAGGGAGGCGGTGGAGGGTGGCCGGGAGGGGGGAGGGGGGGAGGAGGGGGGGCGCCTCTGGGCCGAGTCTCGCGCCGCCGTCGCCGAGCAGGCGGAGGTCGTCGTCGCCGGCACGCGTGGCGACGGAGGCGTGCTGCGCGCTGGCGGGCGGCGCCATCTGGTGCGGCACCATCTTGTTGACGGGCTTCGACTCGCCGGTGAGGTCCTTCTCCCTCGCGCGCAGGCCCCCTCCGTGCACTCTGCGGATGAGGAGGTCGCACGGGGGTGACTCGCCCGCAGAGAGGCGGACGACGCAGCCGCGCTCCACCGCCGACCAGGCCAGCTCCGCCGTCTCGCCGCCTTGCAAGCAGACAGTGCAGCGCCGCTGGTTGATCTCGGTGTCGTGCGACGCCTGCAGCGGCGGGCCGAGGAACGGGGTGGGGGGGCAGCGTGGGTGAGGGGCTAGGCGGAGGGTCGCGCCGGCGGCCGGGAGGCAGGCGTCGCGCGAGTCTGCGCAGCGGGCAGGCTGCGCGGGGCAGGCTGCGCGGGGCCGGCTGGACCTGGGAGTACGCGGCGAGCGCCTCGAAGGTGCAGAAGAGGAAGCAGAAGAAGGCGACAGGGCCGCACGAGCGGAAGGATCCCGTCTCGAGGATCTGCCCGAAGGCGACGAAGAGGAAGAAGAAGTCGTCCGGCTGCGAAAAGTACAGGAGCAGCGAGGCGACGAACTTGAGCGCGCACACCAGCGGCGGGCGGAGCGGCAGCTTGACTGCGAGGGCTCGCGTGTTGCAGACGCGGTTCGGCTCGAGCTCGAGGCACGGGAAGAGGGCGGCCGACCGCAGCCCGGAGCACACTGCCGCGCATGCCGCGCGCAGCGAGAGCCGGCCGCCGCCGCGCACGGAGCGGCTCGGCGCGCTAGACGCCGTCCGCTTCGGGCCCGGGGCGCCGAGGCAGGCGCAGCAGCGGAGGAGGCGGCCGAGGAGAGTCCGCGGCGGCGGGCGGTGCAGAGGCGCACGCAGAGCGCCATCCTCGTCACCGCCGCCGTCGCCGTCGTCCCCGCGCTTGGCACGCACCCCTCTCCTCACCTCTCCTCTCCGGTGCGCCGGGCTGCTGCGCCCGGAGAGCAACGGCGCCGTGTCGCTCTCGCCTCCGCCATCGTCGCTGCCGTCGTCGCCGCCGCCGCCGCCGCCGCCGTAGACGCCGTGGACGCCGCGAGCCTGCCCCGGCTCGCCCTCCCACCCGTCCGGCCCCCAGCCGGGCAGCATGACCACCGTCTCGGACGGCGGGACGTACATCCGAGAAGTGCACACGCGGACCGACTCGCGGACTACCGAGGCCGCGGCAGCGGCCAGCAGCAGCAGCAGGCCGACAGCGAGCAGTAGCGCGACCGCAGCGGCCAGGGCAAGCCGGAGCGAGCCAAAGCGCCTCAGCAGCCAAGCGTGCTCATAGGCGCGGTTCTCGACAAAGCGGCTGCTCCAGTCGGCCAGCAGCCCGCCAAAGCGGCCCGCCAGCCGCTGAGCCCGCTCAGGCCGCGACAGTCCCGGGACGGCTGCGTGCGCCTCAGCGTCCGCGACGAACGTGGCGAGGCGGTGCTGCGTGGCCTGGGCTGAGGCACGCTCCGCAGGCTCGGTGAGCTGCAGCAAATACGAGGCGCAGAGGAGCGCCATCAGCCCCCACGAGGCGCGCCGAAAGGCGCGCTCCTGCCATGACTCTGACATCCCTGGAGAGTGCGCGCTCCTGCTGACCCTGGAGAGTGCGCGCTAGCATGAGTCCGGCGGGTGTCGTCGGCCGCGGAAAGAAATTGCAAAATCGCTAACTCGAGGTTCTCGAGGTGGATATCCTTTGGCCGCGTTGCTCCAAATGCTTGCGGATCGAGCTCCGAATAGAGGCTTGCCGTCCTCCCATCCCTCCCTTGGGTTGTCTGTTTTCTTTCTTTCTTTTAGCTCCGAATAGAGGGGGCGTTCCGCAGCTAAGGGGAAACCTGCGGCCCTGGTACGCGTATCTAACCCTCGGAGAGACGCCCGCCCGTGTTATGGCCCTGCGACCGCGCACCCCCCACAGGGTCAGGGCTCTCTAGCCCGCAGCCCGATCCCGCCCGATCATCCGGCCCGCTGGGTGCGCTTCTTAGCTCCCCGGCCCTGGATGTGAGGTTGCCAACAGCACTCCAAGTGTGCTCCTGGCTAAGCGTTGGTTGGGTCCACAGGCGAGTTGCGCTGGCCACGATCGCTACGCCAAGCCGAGCTGACGTGCCGAGGCGCCGGCCAGTCGCAGCCGTGTGAGGCATGCCACACTGTGCAGCAGACTCTGGCACCTGCCACCCATTGGGCGGGCAGACAGAAGGCCAGGGCAGCACTGGCAGCAGTGTAACGCGCCTCATGTCGGAGAGCGACCGTGCCTCGTTCGCCGCATATGATGTAGAGTTTGTTGTAGAGATTTCTTACATCGCTCTACAATGCAGGTGGTTCGTCACGCGCCGAATGTAGAGCTCTACAGCTCTACAGCGCTCTACAGCGCTCTACAGCTCTACAGGTACAGCTCTCTACAGACTACAGTGCTCTACAGCGCGTGCTCTACAGCTCTCTACAGCTGTTGGTTGCACTGTTGCACTGGAATGGGGTCGATTCCGCATGGCACGGGGACCCCTCGATCGTCTCGCCCTCCCACTCTATGGTGTGTTCATTGGGTGGGCGGGGGGGGGGGGGGGGAGGGTCATAACAAACACGGACAGGATCGAGCATCGAGGTGCACGAGCTGCGCCGAAGCAGTGTCGTCCCCCCTTTCCCCCGTCTCGCTGAGAGACGTCGCGCGCTCGCGCGGCGATGGGTGGTGTGACCAATCGAGCTAGATAAAGTTGTCCCCACTCACAGTTATTTCGTGTTATGGTGTTATGGCTCTCTGGGCATAGCAGCCCATAACATGTTATGGGCTGCTATGGGAGGGCCGTCCCGGGTCCACGGTGTTATGGCCCGAGAGGCCACGCCGGACTGCTCGCCGCTGGAATTTCCGCTTCGCGCGCTGCCGCGCGCGAGGTAGGTTCGGCATCGATCGCCAAATATTTTCTCTTTTGCCCTCAAGTTAAATTCAATAACATATACCTGCCTCCTGAGGCTGAGCGATGGCTTCAGATTGCTCAATCAAGACCACCCCCCCCCCCCCCCCTCACGCAATTTGCTTCCCGTTTCTAACTCGTACTCTCTGCAGCTCTGCACGCTTCCCTCCGTTTTTAACTTGTATGTCTTTCCCGCAATTTAACTCACGTCCTTTTTCTTTCCTTTTTCCACTACATGTCTCGAGGTTTCTAAAAAGTGGGAGGTGTGATGAGGTTTTGGCCGAGTCATAACAGCGCTGTTATGAGGTTGTTAATGCTGCCTGTCATAACAACCAGTGGGAGGTATTATGAGTGCTATGAGGTGTTATGAGGTGTTATGAGGTGTTATGGTAGGGTGGGCATAACAGCCATAACAGCGATGGAGGTGTTATGAGGTGTTATGAGGTGTTATGAGCAGCCAGCCATAACAGCCATAACAGCCATAACACCTGTTATGGCCGCTCCCATAACCTTGAGTGGGGACAAATAAAGAGGAGCTTGTTCAGCATGATCAGGCTTCAGGGTTAGTCGGGTGCACTACCTCACTGGAAGAGCTTACCATCGTACAGCGCTCTACACTCTACATCCTCTACACCCTCCCCCTCAGCGCTCAGGAAAAAGAGGTGCCATGCGCTGGGCCATCGTGCGGCCCCGGGCGTGCGCGGGGACCGCTCTGGGCCGGCGCGGGGCCCCCCGGAGGCACCATGCGCCGTGCAGCAGTGCGGAAACGGGGCTCCGGCTCCGCTTCCGCTAGTGTCAGCTAGCACCGACTTCCCGATTAAGCTAGGTTAATCAGAGGGCAGATTTGGAGAGATCTCGAGGAGTACATACAGATAGACCCTCTAACCATAAGATAACTCTAACCTGAGCGGTCGTACTGACCGCCGACAGATCACTCCAGACAGCAGACAGGCCGACGTCTGCACGCGGCCGGCCGGGCGAGAGGCTTGACACGATCCGACCCTGCGACCCTGACGCTGCTGCTCTAGCTATCAGACATGCATTGCTGACTGCTGCCACAATGTGCGACCTGTGCTGGCCCACTTGGCGGCCTTCCCGGTCAGTGGTGAGGCGCAGTTCAGAGCTGTCGATGGCGCGATGCCGCACTGGTCCCACATTGGTGACACGATACCACCAAGTTTGCCGGTCCAAGAGAGAGGCACCGGCGCTGTCCTGAGAAGGTGCGTGGTCCCTCTTGACTGCCCATGCGCGCGAGGCTGTGTAGGCATAGCCTCGAGAGTGCCAGAGCCAGTCCAAGGCAGTTTGTGACGCGCATTGCGTCAGAAGCGTGCACACGATGGAAGGACACCTTCCTACTGGCCGTACGATCAGGTCGTCACTGAATGCTTGATACTAAGGCCGCGAGCTATGCAGGTGATCAATTGTGCATCATGGCACGGTCAGCAGCGCCGACAGGCTGTCGCAAGGCGTGATAGCATGGCCGCAAGTCGCCGAATTCCCATGAAAACAAGTAAAAAATCGCCGAAAAAAGAAGAAAACCCCTGAAAAAATCGGCGCCTGCGGCGGGCCATGGGGCCCCATCCCCCCCCCGCATGGACACCCTCTGGGGCCCCCGCGCCGGCCCAGAGGGGGACCGGCGGCGGGGTGGTCCCTAGGTTGGTCCTCTACCAACCTTCCTCCTTCGATTGACGATTCCTCCTTTCCTGATAATTTCTTATTAACTGTACGTACGGGTTAGAATTTCTTTCCAGGGAATGTCGTCGACTGAGATTTCTTTCTCACACACACACCGGTGCGCTCCGCAGCCCCGCTAGCCGGCGTGGCACCAGCAAGCTGCCCTCCTCTGGCTCCTCAAATCGCCCAATCCCCAGGCTCACCTCGCGCGACGAGTCGCCCCAGCCGTAGATGTGGCCGCTCGCGGTCTCTGCCAGGCTCGTGACCCCGCCCGCAGTGATCGTGTGCACCCTTTTGCCGCGCAGCACCTCGATGGGCCGTGGGAACAGCTGATTCTCCTCGTCGCCGTGCCCTAACCGACCGTCCGAGCCGATCCCGAAGCTGAAGACCACCGTGCCCCCGACGCTAGGTGCTCGGCCCGGCGGCTCGTCGCAAAGAGCAAGGCTGTGCGCGCCTCCCGCGCAGACCGCGCGGGCGCGCACGCTGTGCAGCGCCGCCACCTTTCGTGGAGCCAGCTGATGCTCTTCTTCGCCGTGGCCGAGCCGGCCGCCGACGCCACGGCCAAACGAGAAGACGACGCCCTCGTCGCTCAGCGCGAGGCTATGCCGCCCCCCCGCCGACACCTCGAGCACGCGCATCCGTTTCAGCCCCTCGATAGCACGTGGCGCCAAGAGGCTAGTGCGCTCGCCGTGGCCGAGCTGGCCGCACGCGCCGTCGCCAAAGGAGTAGGCGACACCGGTGTCGCTGAGGGCGAGGCTGTGCGCGCCCCCCGCGGAGACGGCGCGCACGCGCACCCCGCTGAGCCCCTCGACTGCGCGGGGCAGCGCCACCGGCTCCTCGCTGTTATGGCCGAGCCGGCCGCTCACGCCGTGGCCAAAGGAGAATACGACGCCCTCCTCGTCGACGGCGAGGCTGTGCCTGCCGCCCGCCGAGATGGCTCCCACGCGCACGCCGCGCAGCGACTCTACTGCGCGCGGCGTGGGCCGCAGCGCCTCGGGGTCGCCGTGACCGAGCTGCTCGCCGCAGCCCCACGAAAACACACACCCCGACTCGCCGACGGCGAGGCTGTGGTAGTCGCCGAGCGAGACGCTGCGGAAGCGGACCGACTCGAGCCCGGGGACGGGGGTTGGGAGCGGCACAGCCCACACCTCCTCGCCGTGCCCGAGGAAGCAGTGCCGGTCCGCATCTTGGCCGCACGTGAGCAGCCTCCCGCCGGCGTCGATGAAGGCGTGATGATTCAGGCCCGGCGCCAGCTTTGGCTGCTGCGCCAGGCGGTCGCGTCGCTCGCCCCAGTAGAGCGCCTGCACGACAGTTTCTCCGGGGGCCAGCTCCGACGTGAGTGGCACCGTAGCACCGCGACGCGCAGCACGCTCGCGCAGGCTCTCCTCAACGACGGAGCGCGGCGGTGGTGCCGGCTTCTGCCCGTGGAAGACGCGGGAGGTGCAGCTCAGGCGTGCGATGGCCTCCACCGAGGGGAGGTGAACAGCGATGCGCGTGAGCAGCTCGTGTGGCAGGTCACAGAGCTCAAGCGGGGCCGGCGGCGCATGCGCATGCAGGAGGCAGACAAGCTCTTTGCACAGGCGGAGGCCGACGGTGACGTCGTCCTCGTCGAGGTGACTGGCGTCACGCAGCGTGTCGACGACGTTGCGTAGCTGGGCCAGGATCGACATGGCGCCGCGCCGTGTGAGTCGCGCACTGGGCTGGCTGGGCGTGGGGCAGGTTGTTTCGTCGAGTGATTTTGATCTCCGCAACTCCGGCCGCCCCGTTTCATACAATCTTCTCGAAAAGAAATCACCTGCCAGGCACACGCGCCTCGAGTCTCTAGTTGACCGTCTTTGACGGCCCGTCGGGCGGAAGCGCCTTTTGCGCAAAGGTGAGCAGCCGCTTGACGGACTGGAGGTACTTTCGCTGCGTCTCGTCGTTCATCACGTGCGCGATCTTGGAGACCTGGATGTGCTGTCGGCCCTGCCGCTCGTGCACACCGGTGCCGGTGATGCCCATAGGCCAGGGCGCGTTGCCGATCGCGCAGAGGATGTATGCGTCGTGCGCCTTGACATACCTGCGGCGGCGGGGGCAGCAGAGGGTGCGAGCGTCGAGAGGCGGGCGGGGGGGAGAGCGCCGCCGGCCCAGCACCGCAGCGGGCTCTGGAGGGCGGGGGGGCTGGAGGGCGGGGCGGGGTGGGCGGGCCGCACTCTCTCGCCGCCATGTGCTCGGTGATGGTCTCGATGTGGCGGAGGATGTCCGGCGGCATCACCCGCGCCTTGAGCTGGCGGAAGAAGGGCTTGAGGTGGCGGCGGCACTGCAGGTACGTCGCCATCTCCTTCCTGCCCGCCGCCGAGTTGGCCACCGCCTCCGACCGCGCGGACAGCTCCTCCTCCCACAACCGCAGCAGGCCCTTGAAGTGGCGCGAGATCGTCCCCTCCACCGTGTTCGCCTCCTCGCCGCCCATCTCCTCCTCGTCGACGGCGGCCGGCCGCGTCTCGGCGGCGGCGGCCGCCGTCGCCGCGTCCTTGGCCTTGCCCGACTCGTCGTAGAGCTGCGTCTCGTTGAACATCTGCCCCGCCTTGAGCTCTGCGTCGTCCTCCTTCTCCGTCGCTGCGGCGACGGCGCGGTACCGCTCGAGCCGCGCCTCGTCCTCCTCGCCAAAGAGCTGCACCGGCTGGCCCAGCTGCCGCAGCAGCCGCTTCACCTCCTTTGGCTCCAGGTGCACCATGTCGCCGCCTGCGCTGCTCGCGCCGCCGGCGCCGACGCCGCCCGCTCTCGCAGCAGCGGACAGTCCGCCCACGAGCGCGGCGCCCGTGCCGGTATTGTCCACCGCCGCCGCCGCGCTGCCCTCCCCCTCGTATCTCCGCAGGCAAGGCACGACCAGCTTGCGCGACGCCTCCGCAGCCGCCATCTCCTCGCGGTACGCCGCCTCGCGCTGCGCCTCGAGCTCGCCGCGCCGCACCCACTTCTTCTTGCCGCCGCCGCCGCCGGCCGCGGCCGCCTCCTCCCGCTCCTTTCGCTTCTTCTCCATCGCATCGCGAAGCGCCTCCATCTTGCCCCTGGGGCACCCTGAAGGAAAAAAATTTTGCGGGAAAAGAAATCGCGTTAGGGCTAGGGGGCTCTCTAGCCCGTAACTCGATGCCAATCGTCCGGCCCGCTGGGTGCGCTTCTCAGCTCCCCGGCCCTGGGCGTGCGGTTGTGATGAGACTCCACAAGAGGCAAAGTGCTCCCCAAAACGCCGGCAAAAAAAGAGGGCGGCTTGGCAAGCGGCAAGCTACGCAAGCAGGCCAAGGGCAAGCGATCCAGAGATTAAAATCCCTAACATTCACACCACTCCTGCATGAGCTGAGAGTAGAGTGTATCGTGACTCTCTCTGTTTGTGCGTGTTGTGTTGTTACGTGCTGCCACGGCGCGCGGCTCTCACACTTTCCTCGCCGAGCTCGACGCGGCCGCTCCGCCCGCCGGCGACGCCGGCGGGAGGCTCTCGCTCTGCAGCTGCCGCCACACGTCGCTCGGCGTCAGCCCCGTGGTGGCAGCCCTCGCCTCGATTGTCGCGAGGAAGGCCTCGGCATCGCTGAGCACCGAGCGGGCCAGCTGTAGGTCGGCCGAGTCGCACAGTGATAGGCGGAGCAGGCCGCAGAGGTCCTGCGCGTCCCGCCGCAGCCTCGCAACGTGCTCGGGGCCGTCGGTCACGCCGCTCAGGTCAATCGGAGTGGCCAGCCGGTGGTCTCCGGCCGCCTGAGAGGAGGCGGCGCCCCCGCGCAGGCATTGCCACACCCGGCAGGCGGCGGCGCTCTCCGTGGCAGCTGGCCGTCCGCCGTCCGCCTCCTTGAGGGCGCGCGCGCATCGCTGCACCTCGTCGAGCAGCACCGCGCCGGAGCGAATCGAGGCCCGGACCTGAGCAAAGAAGTCGCCCCTCGTCATGTCGACCCTGAGCACCTCGAGCGTCGAGACGTCGCTGTCTCGCTCCCCGCCCGCCGGTGCAGAGGCGACCGGACTCGCCCGCGGCGGGGTGATCACCATCTTTGTGCTGCCCGCGCCGGCGTTGCCCGCTGGGCTGCCCACTCTGGTACTGCCCAGTCTAGAGCCGTAGCCAGGCTTGGCCTGCGCGGCAGCGACGCTCGAGGCGGAGCCGTTCCTGCTCAGCCTCGGTGAGGAGGCGCACCGCGATGCCCGGAGCGACGGCGAGTCGCTTGAGGACGAGGAGGGCGGCCTCGGCAGAGGGCGGTCGTTCGGGTCGAGGGCACGGCGTTTAGAAGGCGCCTTGGCGGCAGGGTGGTACGGCGGTGGCGGCAGCGGACGCGTGTCGGGGTTGCTTCCCCGAGAGCTGGGGCGCGACGCGACGCCCTTGAATGGCGTGGGGCGGGGGATCCTGCTCGCCGTTGGAGCCTGAGCCTCCGAGGAGCCGCCGAGGACGGCAGATGCTGCCAAGCGTGGGCTGTGCCGCATCGAGGCGGGCGGGACTGCAGGCGGAAGAGCACTCAGGCTTCCCACCGCACGGGTAATACCGACGGCTGTCCCTGTCCCAGCAGCAGTTGCAAGGTCCACGTGTGAGCACGGGTCACGTGTGCTGTCCATGCGCAGGTGGCGCTGTCCTTCCGCATTCCGCCCAATCTGCGCGGCCGGGTTCGGACAACCACAGTTAGCCGCAGTGGCTCCTAGGCCTGGTGCGAGGCGCCTGACCGGCGCGGGTGGCGCCTCAGGTGGCCGGTCTCCGGCGGGCCAGCGCTGGCGGATCTGCTCTCGCTTGGCCGCGAGGGAAGGCGCCATCCGAAACGGAGAAGGAAGGCGCGTCGCCGCATCAGACGACGCTTTGGCAGCGTGTCGTACTGAAGCCAAGGAGGACACACGTTTTGGTGGCTGAGCCCGTGACGCAATTGGCGAGATGTGACGCAATGGCGACAGCCCGAGCGGTGAATGAGCTCCGTGGTCGCGTCCCGGGAGGGCAATGTCGAGCGCAGGGAAGCGCGAGGAGCGCTTGCCGATTGGAGACGAAGGCCCGGTAGCTCTGGTTGCTGGCGGTCTGAGCGGCATTGCGTTGTGGCCTGTAGCGGGACCGGACCGGGGGCCGAGGCGTTGTGCCGTTGTTGTACGTACTTATAGCTTACTGGGAGAAAAGAGAGAGGGGGTTGTGTTCTCTAGGCCCCTAAGGGCCCTACGCGCGGCGTGAGAGCTCGGAAGCGAGCTTTGCACGGCGATCGAGGATGGCACGGTTCACCCCCTTCACCGAAGCGATGGAGATGCGTTCCGCGTGGTGTGACACAAATGAGAGGCGGGAGTGGGGAGGGTACGCGGTGCGGTCAACGCCCGAGCGTTGAGCCTTGCGCGCAAGGCGGTTGATCTTTGCAACTGCTGGCGGCGAGAAGCCGCCGCCGAATGTCTCGTGGAGAAGCAGGTTGAACTTGTTGCGTTTGGTGAAGATCCCATCATGGTAGTGGCCACGCTGTGACTTGACGTAGCCTTGGCCGGTGGTGTGGTCGAACGCCCGTTGACCACGGAACCCGCGTTGCTTGCAGCCCATGTTTGCAAGGCGGGCGCGCTCTTCGGTGTTGCCGAAGGCGAACTTGTCTCCAACGGAGCCGGTCTCTCTCTCTTGTTGTAAGAGAACGAAACGAGGAGAAGTCACATGTCGTGATGTGTGATCTGCAAGGATCCGCCCGCAGGCGCATTTTGTATACCGAGGCGGTGCCCGGTGCCGAACCTGTCGGACCTTAAGACAGCATTGTAGATCCCTGGGCGAGGGTGGTGGAGAGGGCGGTCCGTCGGCGCCGAGGCGGGCAGGTTCCACGCGTTCGTTCCCGGCCGGACTGTCCCGTTGGAGGTAGACCGCTCGTCTAGCCAATCAGCCTTAAGCGAGCGGTCTGGCCGTTGGAATGGCCGAGTTTGGTGTGGTCTGTTGGACTTGCGTCCTCGCGTCGATCGTGGTTACAAGTTCAAGTACAAGTAAGTAGCGTTATGAACAACAATCACCACTCGGGGAGGCGGCGCTGTCCCCGCAGACGAGCCACAGTTACAAGCCGCCTCCCCTACTTGCCTCTCTCTCTCGGCGTTTCGTCTGTTCTCACACGCTACTCGTAGCCAGGACCGGCCCAGGACCAACCGCACATGCACTCCTTACTAAGATCTTTAAGTGCTCGTCGTCGGGGGCGGGCTCCGGGCAACCAGACATTCAAGAGGAAATACGTACCCGCGGATCCCCGGCGGCCCGCGGTTAGATAATACGCTCTATTTCTTCCCCCGGCCATCCGCCGGCCGGCACACACACACACAACCCTTGGCGTGCAGGCAGCATGGGCCATGGCAGGCAGCCAGTCAGTCAGGGGCCATGGGCATGCCATGGCGGCCTGATGGCGGCGGCTTGCCTAGAACGTGGAAGCTCAGCGCACAGCGGAAGAATGGGGCCGGCCGGCGCGCGTGGCTCGCCGCTCGCGGGCCGCGAGAGGCTCGCCGCTCGCGGGACCAGCGACGCGCGCGCCGCGCGTGTGCGGGCTGTGCGGCGCGGCGCGTGTGCGTGCGCGGCGGGGAGCAGACGAGCAGACCGGACAGACCGCCCGCCCCGGTGGCTCGCACGACGAGACGTGTACGAGACCGCGCGTGGTGGCTCGCGCGCGTGCGGCGTCGGATCCGCGCGTCGGCGTCAGGAGTCGGTCGCTCGCTCGGGGACTCAGCCGGTCTGGCGGGGCGAGCGCGCGAGCCGACGGACCGGCGGCCAGGACAGGGCGCGCCGAGCGCGAGCCCCCCGCGAGGCCGCCGCCATACAGATATACAACGCACAAGCGAGGTCCGCGACCCCGACGGCAGCCGCGCCCGCGCCGCCGTGCGCCGACACGGGGCGCGAAGAGCATATCGCAGCGACTGGGGCAACACACGCGCACACGCATGTCACGGCTCACGCACACATCTCTCAATTCTCACCATGGACATGCTGTTTGCTCCCCCTCCACAAAACAGCGGCTCATTCACCACGATCGAGTGATGCGGTGCCACCAGGCAGGCGGCCCTTCTTGGGCTTGGCGCCTGCTCCTCCCACCGCGGCGCACGGGGGCAGCAGCGGACTCGCTGTCTTCTGCAGACGCGGCAGCGGCGGCAGCGGCGGCCGCGGCGTTGAGCCTGTCCGCAAGGTCGCCCCAGTAGCTGCCGGCAGGCCCTTCAGGGCCGACCCACGCCCCGTCCACCCCCTCCCGTGGGCCATCTAGGCCATCGGCCGGGCCATCGGCCATCATCAAGGGGGCGGCCAGGGGCGGCGGGGGAGGCGGCGGCAGATCGAGAAGGCGGCGACGCTTTGCCATTGAGTTGCCTTCCACTGCGACGGCCTGCAGCACTTCCTCCCCCTCCTCCTCCTCCTCCTCCTCCTGCTCCTCCTCGCTCGCGCCCTCCTCGCCGCCCTCGTCGCCGCCCTCGCCGCCGCCGTCCCACTGCCGGTGCGCGCCATACCGCGCCTCGTAGCGCGCCGCCGCGGTAGGGTCGGGCGGAGGCCCCTCAGGCCCGTGCAGCAGCAGGTACTCTCGGTCACCCTGCTCGTCGCCCTCGAGGAAGGAGCGACGCACCTCCCACGCCTCGACCTCGAACACGCTCTCCTCCTGGTACGCCTCCGAGGCGCGCAGCCCGCCGAAGCCGACGGCGTAGTAGACGCGCCGCCGCTCGGCGTCCCGCAGCACGCGGAAGGCCAGGCATGCGCGCCGGAACGCGGTCACGGCGGCAGCGTGCTCCTCCGCAGAGGCGTACTCGTACAGCCTGCCCGGGCAGACGCGGCCCGCGATAGCGTGGAAGGCGGCGCGGGCCCTGGCCGCCGCCACCTCTGGACGCGCCTCGTCCGCGTCCGCGTCGGGCGGCGGCAGGCCGAGCGCAGCGTTCAGGTCGAAGGGCTCCAGAGGCGCGTGCCACACCACATCATCCTCGTCGCCGTCGTCCTCGCCCTCGCCCTCCTCGCAGTCCTCCTCGCCGTCCTCGCTCTCGCCCTGCGCCGACGCCTTTGCGGCTTCATTGGAGCGCAGCTCGTCGTACGCCTGCTGAATGCGCTGCCACAGAAACGGCTCGCCGCCGCGGTCGGGGTGCTGCAGCTTTGCAGCTCGGTCGTATGCCTCTCGCAGGTCGTCCGCAGTGACTGACGGCCGCCGGTGCAGGCCGAAGAGCCGCAGCGCGTCGGAGCGGCGTTCACTGTCCATGCACTGTGATGAGTGAGGGCCCTCCGCGGATCGTGGCGCGCCGGCCAGTTTTTTCTTGAGAAGAGCGAATGCTGGCTTGACCCCGTTGGGCCACGGCGACTAGGGAAGGGGAAGCAGAGTTCAGCAACGTATTCACGGGCGTCTCAGAATTGGCCGGTCGACAAATTTTACCAGCCCCCAGAACGGGGAAGCGAGTCCGGGCGGGGCGCTACTGCGCCTCGCCCCGGGCCGCGCTCATTTGTGACCGCGCAAGATATAAAGGGTGGCCTAAGGGCTCTGCTCGCAAGGCGCCCGCGTCGCAGACGCGGTACCATTAAATCTGACTTATACCCCCACACGAGCAAATAGCAAAATCCGAATACCGCGCAGAAACCATGTGATCTGGGCCGTGCAAGAGCCTTCAGCTGGTGCCAAGACATTCGTAAAATTGAAGCCAGGAACGTCCGCCAAATCCGTGCTTTCGGAGCAACTGAGGGAAAGCCGCTGATCGAGCCCAGCGTGCCCGCGGCCGCATCCCGCGCAGCACCGCCGCTGGGGACGACACGCTGCGGAATCGGATCGAGCCCATGCACGGGCTAAGAAGGACGCTGCAGAAGCGGTTGGAGAGGCAGCCGGCGTCTGCCGTCACAACGAGTCCCAGCGCTGGTTGGACATGCGCATCGGCTCGCCCGAGGACTGCTGTCGCGACCCTCCCGTCGTGCCGCAGCCTCCGACGAGCTCTGCAACCGAGGAGAGTGAGGGTGCGCCTCCCCTCACTGCTGGCCTGGCTGCGCACCGCCCCACAAAGTACCCCCTCGAGCATCTCTACATACTACAAGAAAAGCTGAGGGAGGGTGTAGAGGATGTAGAGTGTAGAGCGCTGTAGAGCTGTAGAGCTGTAGAGCGCTCTGGAGCGCTGTAGAGCTGTAGAGCTCTACATCCGCCGCGGGACGAGGCGCCTCCGTTGTAGAGCGATGTAGAGGCGCTCTACAACGTGAAATCTCTACAACAAACTCTACATCATAAGCGGCGAACGAGGCACGGTCGCTCTCCGACATGAGGCGCGTTGCACTTGCCAGTGCTGCCCTGGCCTTCTGTCGCTGCCCGCCCAATGGGTGGCAGGTGCCTCTGCTGCTGTGGCATGCATCACGGCTGCGACTGGCCGGCGCCTCGGCGCGTCAGCTCGGCTTGGCGCAGCGATCATGGCCAGCGCAACTCGCCTGGACTCAACGCTCAGCGGCTCAGCCAGGAGCTCCCGCACGCGCTGGCGCGAGTCATGGCGCATGCAACGCGCAGCAATGCTCGCCTCGCCTCGCGCAAATGCGACCGTCCTCGCAGCCGACAGTCCACCGCCTGCTAAAGAAGCACTGCAACGAATGCGGCACCGGCGACACATGGCAGGCTGGTCATGACGCAGTTATAGGGTGTTGTGTGCCGGGTCGGAGTGACTCTCTGTGTGTCAGGGATAGTCAGGGCCGTTCATCAGAGCTCCAGTAAGCTCGGAGACACCCCATTAGTGCGACTCGACCTCTTTGAGTCACTGCCTTCCCGGCGGTTTGGCTGTAGAGCCTCTACAACAAACTCTACAGCAAAATCGCGCTCTACATCGCTCTACAACGGAGGCGCCTCGTCCCGCGGCGGATGTAGAGCTCTACAGCTCTACAGCGCTCCACAGCTCTACAGCTCTACAGCGCTCTACACTCTACATCCTCTACACCCTCCCTCAGAAGAAAAGTACAAGTGTCAAGTCAAAGCGCGACCTTCTCCAAGTCGTCAACGCGCCCGGCGGCTCCGGCAAGACTTTAGCCTTGGCCACCCTCCTTGCGGAGCAGGAGGAGATCCGCTCTCGGTCGGCAACGTGGCAGCTAGTCGAGGGACTCGGTAGGCTTGAGCACCCTGAGAACAGCCTGAGTGGAGGACAGGAGAGAGAGAGCTTTTGTGGTGTTGGTGTACGCAATAACGGGACAGGGTAGTCGTTCTCTCTAGCTAGCTCCCCTTCTAGCTCTTAGCATGAGCTGCGCCCTGTGTCCGACCCCTTTTGCGCAGCAACACCTTAAACTTTTAGGCCCTCCAAATTCTCGGGTCGGAGCGTAGCGCGTGCGGAGTGGGCCCCGAGTTTGAAAAGGGCGACGGACGCTTGCGTCCTAGCCTCCAACAACGCCTCCCCGGCGGCCCGCCGGCGCAGAGGGCCCCCGGAGGGATGCTCAACCGCTCCACGCCACGCCGCTTGCGGCGGTCCTCTTCCCAGCTCCGCTGAGGGCATCCCCTGTCAATCCTATTTCTTTTCGATTAGCCCCTCTTGTCGTGCCAGTGTGCTGTGTGTTACACAGTGTTTTGAGACAGGGAAATTTAAAAAATTCTTTTCAGTTAGCCCAGCCATGTTAGGGCCAGGCAATATTGTGGAGCACGAGGCCTCGCCGGGGCTGTTCCAGAGGTGCGTGGTCGTCGATCAATCCGACGGGCTCCTGCTCCGCCGCGACGCCGAAGACGCCGAGCCGTTCCAGGCACCTCCCGGCGCCGTGCGGCCGCAGCCGCCAGACGTGCCATCGGGCTTTTCGGGCCAGCTCAAGGTGGGCCAGCTTGTTGAGGCGTCCACGGCGGACGGTTGGGCTCGCGGCACGTGGCTCGAGCCCGTGCTCGGCTCGGCGGCTCCGCTTTCGGTTCAACTGCTCGCGGAAGGCGGAGAGGTTTCAGTGAGCGAGGCGGACGTGCGGCCGGCACTCGACTGGGTGGAGGGAGCGTGGGTGGAGAGACTCCACGAATCTGCGCCGAAGCCGGACGAGGCCCCGCCCACGGAGCTTCCCGCGGAGCCCGCGCAGCCTCCCGTGGAGCCCGCGCCCGAGGCGGCGCCGGAATCGCCGCCACCGGCCGCCGCACCGCCCGCCTCTGGCGCGCCGCCTGACGAAGAGGAAGAGGAGCGGGTGACACCGTCCGAGGCGCCGAGCGGCGCGGAGCCCACGGTGAAGACGCAGACGTCGTCGACGCCCGAGGTGGACTCCGAGGTGGCGCGCCAGGAGCCACCTACGCTCAGTGCGGAGGAGGTTGGCCGCATCTTTGCCACGGTGACGGGAGAGGAGAGGGAAGCGGAGCGGGAGGGGGAGGGGGAGGGGGAGGGGGAGAAGAGGGGCTGCGGGCTCCGTGAGGCGGCGAGGGTGGGGTGCGGCGGCGAGGCGGCTCAGCGCGCAGTGCCCCCGCCCCGCAGGGGTCGAGCGTCGAGGTGACCTCCTTTGCGGACGGGCTGCGAGGCTCTTGGTACGGCGGGTCGGTCGTCGAGAGCCCGACGGCGAGGGGCGCGGTACGCGTGCGGTACCCGGTGCAAAAGGGAAAGGGGGGGTGGGGTGGGGGGGGGGGGGCCCCTTATTGTTGGGGCGGGGTTCCCCGGGTTTCCCCCCCCGGGAGGAGGGGGGGGGGGGGGGGCGCCTCTTCACGTGCGCGCGTGTGTCCGCAGGGCTCCAACACCGAGGAGGAGGAGGTGAGCGCGAGCCGTCTCCGGCCGCAGCCGCCCGAGGTGAGTCTTTCCGAGTGGAGGGCTCATAATATAATATAGTATAAATATAAATATAATATAATATAATATAATATAATAGGTGAGTCTTTCCGAGTGGAGGGCTCTGGCCTGCGCCGACACGGCGCTCGAGCTCTACTTCCAGCAGGGGTGGTGGGACGTGGTCGTCGCGGAGGTCAAGAAGACGTGCATCGCCGTCGTCGCGCCCGAGTACGCCAAGCGCCACACCGTCCCACCAAGCAAGCTCCGCCCGCGCTGGTCGTTCGACCCCGCCAGCCGCCACGAGCCGTCGGGAGGCTGGTCGCTTAGCGTGGGAGGGACGAGCTACGCGCTCGCGGCGTGGCGCGAGCAGGCGGCCGCCCTCGCGGCAGAGGCGAACGCGGCGGCGGAGGCGGAGAGGGCGGCCGCAGCCGCAGCCTCTCGCCCGCCCGAGCCGCTCTCTGCAGCAGAGGCGGAGGCGGCGGCGGCGGCGGTGGCGGCCGAGGCAGAGTCGGAGGCGGCGGCGGAGGCTTCGCTCGACGGCGACGCGCTGAGCAGCCGCGTCTCCTTCTTCCGCTTCGGGTGCAGCCTCGAGTTTCGGCCCATCGAGGAAGACTACCTCGGCGCGTGGGTCCCGGCAGAGGCGCAGCGCCTCGCCGCCCCTCGCACCCCCCCCCCGCCCCCCTCTCTCCACACCACCGACCCGCCCCGCAGGTGCTCAAGCTCTGCCCGGAGTCGAACGAGCTGCTCCTCGGCCGCGTCGACGCCGCCGGCAACACCGCATCGCTCCGCGAGACGTGTCGCGTCGCTCGCTGCCGCCCTCCGCCGCCTCCGCTCGGCGAGGACGCGTCCGCCGGTTGGCAGGAGGGGGCTGGGTAGAAGTCATCAGTAGAAGTCATCAGTAGAAGTCATCAGCGAGTGTAGCCTCACTGATCGTCCGCCGGCATGCAGGACGGACTCACGGACGGACTCCTAATCAATCACCAGTTCTCAATCCCTGATTGTGCAGGACGGACTCGCTCCGGGCGACGCTGTCGAGGCCTGGCCGCCCACGGCGTCACCTCCTGCGAATTAGCCAACCATCACTCCTTCAGTACTCATGATCAGGTCTGGCTCGACGGTGTCTGGTGGCAGGCCCGCGTCGAGGGTCTCACGCAGCTGGCCGGATCGAGCCACGTCACCGTCGTCTCTCCGCAGTACGGATCGCGCTCCGGCACGCGCCACCGCGCGCCTCTCTCGCACGTGCGGCCGCGGTACAGCTGGCTCTCCCCCGAGGGCGGCTGGACCTACTCGTCCGGCGGCGGCGCGACCGTCGAGCTCCCGCCGACAGAGGGGGACAAGGACCGCGAGCACTCCTTTCCTGCGCCGCCGCGTGGAGGCGAGAAGCGGGCGGCCGCCGCGCAAGCCCGCTCCGCCACGGCCCGCGGCTCCGGCGGCTCCGGCGGCTCCGGCGGCGCGCGCAGCGGGCGGAGCGGGGCGCCGCGCGCCCGAGCCGCGGCGGCGGCGCCTGCGCCCGCCCTGCCGCCCTCCGGGGAGCTTCCTTCGGTGGGGGAGGTCGTCGAGGTCGAGGTGGCGGAGGAGGGGGCGCCGGATCGGACGGTGGGCACTCTCCGCCCTCCGCCCCCTGTGCTGGCCCCGTGGCCCCGTGGCCCCGTGGCCCGTTCAAGCGGCCCTCGCCAGCGTCAGGTGTGGTCGCCGTCGGAGGTGCGCGAGTCGGTGCCTGGCGGCCGCTTCAAGGCGTGTGTCAACGGGGACGAGGCGAGGCTTGCCGGATCCCCCCCTCCTCTCTGCTGCCCCTCCTCTCTGCTGCCCCGCCCGCCCGCCCGCGCGAGAGGTCTCGGAACTGTCTCGGAACTGTCTCGAGAGAGTGTCTCGCGCGAGGCCTGCCCCCCGCCTAGATAGCCCCCGCCCGCGGCGAGGAGGCGGGGGGTGGCACCCCCTTCTAGAGCGGGCACTCCTCTCCGCCGATAGGACTTCATCGAGGAGTTCGGGCTCGAGGACGAGGGGAGGGAGTGGCGCAAGGTCGAGGACCAAGCCTCCGCAAAGAAGGCCTACGCTGCGGCGCACGCGCTCGCAAAGCGAAAGGCGGCGGCGGAGAAGGCGGCGGAGAAGGCGGCGGCGGAGGCGGCGGCGCGCACGGCGGCCGCCGGTGCGGACAAGGGGGAGGGCAAGGCGGAGCGCAAGGGGGAGAGCAAGGGCGAGGGCGGCCCGAAGCCGAAGAAGCGCAAGGTGACTGCGTCGGGCGTATGAGTCATGTTCTCCATTGATAACACACGATTGTTCTTTCGCAGGTGACTGCGTCGGGCGGTGCGCCGCGCCCTCCGCCGGGCGTGGTCGTCTCCCACCGGTACGCGTTTGGGATGGCGGTCGAGGTCGCTGGCGAGGACGAAGGGTTCGAGCGGTCGTGGTATTCCGGAGAGGTTCTCAAGGCGGCGGCCAAGGTGACGGTCAGGTGCGGCGCTGCTCGCCCGCGAGGAGGCGCCTGGCGGGGGCGGTGCCTGCCCCACAGTTGCCTGTCCGCTTGCTTCAGGTACGACGCCCTCTTCGAGGAGGATTCGGACGCGAAGCGACCGCTGACGGAGACGCTCGAGCCGGGCCGGCTGCGCCCCCTCCCTCCCAAGGCGCAGGAGGGCTGGCTGAGGAAGGCCAAGGCGGGCCTGCCCCTCGAGCTCAAGCACGACGGAGGCTGGTGGCAGGCCGGCGGCGCCCGCCTTGCCTCCGCCCGGTCGCAGCCGCTCTCACGCGGCTGTCCAGCTCTGAGCGTCCCGACGCGCGTTCCTCAGGTCGAGTTTGTGAGCGTGGCGGATGGCGGCGACGCCGAGACAGCGACGCAGCTTCTCGTCCGGGGGGCGGGCGAGCTGTGGGGCGGCGCGGAGATCCTTGCGGACGTCTCCTCCCTCCGGCCCGGCTGGCACTTCAACGCCGCCTCTCAGAGCTGGGGCTCGCGCGGCGCCGCTGCCGCCGCAGCCCCCAAAAAGTCGAGGAGCGGGAGCAAGAGCCGCCGCTCGGGCGCGAGGCCCGACAAGGGCGCGGCGTGAAGGCGGGCTCGTCGTAGGCCCGCCTTTGGCAGAATTTGCGAGGAATGCGGAGCTCATCGCCGGCTGCTTCCTTTCGAGTATTGAGCGCGGGGCGGATGGGCGAGTCGGGGGAGGGTGGTAGAACATCGTGTGGCGGCTGCATCGGCGCCCTCTGTGCATGTTTGGATGCGAGGTCGCGGAGAGAGCCATGACGAGTCTCTTGCGCGCCGGGCCTGCATGGGCGATCGCGCGGGTGCGGGGCGGACTCTCTCGCATCACGTCGACTGTGCCCCTGTGTCGCACCCCTGGCTGAAGCCGTGCCAGTGGCTGCGCGTGTGTGGCGACTGGCGATTTCAAGCTGGGCGCCTCCGTCTGGCTCGCCGCCACTTCCAGCAACATGAGCCGCCGCGCGCAAGAGATTCAAACATCAAAGACCAAAAAAGAAAAAAAGTTTTTGGCTTTGGGCCCCGCGCGGGGGAGGGGGGGGTCCGGCTTTCCGCGATTTTGCTTCCTAGAGTTTTGGATCAGGCCGGGACGCGCGCGGGCCGGGGAGACGCTATGCCTATATGGATTCATTCACACCGCACATCTCCGATCTCCCATTTGACCCCTGCCGCCGCCAGCTGCGATACGCCAATCTCCAATCTCGACGTCTCCAATCTCTCCGCGCCGCCCCAATCGCCAATGCCCAAAACACTTCCCAAAACGGCGTGGTTTTTTGGGTGTGAGGCTGAGGGTTGCGGATCTCGGCCGCCCCCGCCGCGAGGATCTACGCTCTGTGTTCTCCATCTCCAAACTCCACCTTTGACCCTGGCAACTACCAACACGATCCACAATCTGTGATCGCAATCTTTCATCTTCAACCAAGCCCGACGTGTGGTAGAATCGGCTAGGATCTCCAGTCCTGGTCTGCGATCTACACAGGGTCCTCTCCGAGCCTGGACACGCGTCTCTAGGTGACGGTGTGTCGCAAGGCAACGTTTCAGAGACGGTCGGACTATTGGGCCGATGCAGCGAATCCGACGAGACAACCGCCCCAAGGCCCGCTCCGACTTGTTCACATGATCGAGCACTTCTTCTTGCCCTTTGCCTGCTGGGCCGCCGACGCCTGGACCACTGCCAAGAACGCGGGGCTGGGCTCCGCCCGATCCTCACGCTTGGCTCTCAGAGGCTTGCCTCGCTTGCCGACGATGCGCCACCCGCTCTCTTCAGAGGAGGCTCCCTCCTCCTTGCGGGGGCGGCGAACCCAGACCGGAGTCGGGGACCGCTGCAGGCTGAGAGGCGGCGGCGGCACCTCCGCCGCGTCTTCCTGCCCCTCGAGCGGGTAGCAGCGCGCGTCCCGTGATGCAAGGCGCGCGTGGTGGCGAGCCTTGGTGGCGGGGCGCCGCTTCTTGGGGTCGCGTCGTGCCGCCGGCGCGGGGATCGCCTCCTCCTCCTCCGCCTCCGCCTGCGGGAAGAGCAAGTCGCGCTCGGCCTCCATCGCGCGCTTTGCCTGGCGGTAGCGCGCCCAAAACCGCTCGTCTTTGCCCACGACGCACTTCTTCGCCCGGCGCTCGGACGCGCGGTAGCACGCCGATTCGGCACTGGTCGAGGCCTGCTCGATCTTGGCGTCGAGGTCCTTGATGGGGTCGAGGTCCTTTTTCGCGTGGCGGCGCTTCTTCTTCTGCTTCTTGCGGGTCGGTGAGGGCGGATCGTACATCTTCATAGCGCTCATGTCCTTGATCGGCCGCCCCTTCTTCCCCACCGTCAGCCAGGAGCCAGGCAGCGGGGTAATCTCTGGCATCTTGGTGTCATCGAGCAAGGCGAAGACGGTGGCCGGGCTGGATGGCGGCTTGGGCGCCGGCAGGAGAACTTCCTCCAGCTCGTCGTGCGCGAAGGTGCGCTTGCAGATGGCTGCGCGCCTTTCCGTGTAGCGTGCTGCGCGAGACATAGGTGGTTGAGTGCGCGCAATCTGCCGAAGCACAGAGAGGACTTCCTTCTGGGTTCCGGCTCCTAGGCAGATAGGGGTCTGTGCCACCCTATGCAATAGGTAGGTAGGTCCGGTTTTGACCGCCCAAGAGGGCCCTGCAACAGGTAGGTACCCGCTTTTAGCCCCCCGCTACCCAGTCGCATTCGTGCGACGTAGCGGGGGGCCACAACTACGTTTACGAAAACATAAGTAGTCCCGCGAGGTGTGAATTGGCCGCCCCAGGAGCCCCCTTTCCAGCGAGTAGGGTTTCGTCCCCAGAGCGTCCAAACTTGTTTGCGCGCCAACCGTATCTCGCAACGAATCTCGCCGGCCTCACCGGCCCCCACCGGCTTTCGTCGCCCATGCTCGGTCTCGACTTGAGTGCCGCTCGACTGGCCGATGAAGCGCGACCCGTACGACGCGCACTTGTCGTCCTCCCTCCTCGCCACATGACGGCCGCCCCCCGACACCGACAGTCGCGCTCCGCACGCCTTCGAGATCAGCTGCGGCCGAGCGACGATGGGCTCGCTCCGATCGCTGGGCGCGGTCACTCTCTGGCCCATCACCCGCCTGCCGATCACCTGTCCGCCTCGCCGCGCGCGGGCCGCTCGCCTGCTCGCCACCGCCGCCGCGCGTCCCCGCGCCGCCACGCTTCCCTGTGCACCTGACGGCGCTGCGCAGACGGCGCGCTCTGGCAGACAGAGCAGCGGCCGCCCAGGCGGTCGCTGCTCCGCCCCGTCCGAATCCTTCTGTCCGCGCGTGCTGCTGCCGCCGCCGCCGCCGCTCTACCCGGTGCCCGTGTGTCGTGAGTGAGAGTTGCTTTGTGTATGTGTATGTCGTATATGTGTGTGGACTTATGTCACGCAGCTTGAGCCTCTATGTATGATTAGTAGACCGGCAGCTCGGGTTTGGATGGTGGCGGGGGGCCCCGCCGGAGGCTGGTTACTGATTTCGTCTTTTTTCGCTTCGCTGATCGCTGCGCGGCCTGGGGGTAGGTAGGTAGGGCGTTTTGGTGCGAGGGTCATGGCACATGGGGGACAGAGCACAGACCCCCTATCTGGCTAGCCAGCCGGAACCCTGTAGAGTTCCCCGAACAGACAAAAATAATTTTACAACAAAGCTCCCTCAAAAAAAGAATTCTTGACTCCAGACTCAGGCTGCCAGGCAGCGCACACCCTCCCACACCACAGAGACATAGACATTCCTACGGCAGCAGCAATGCCACCACACACACGCGCGAACAGGAACCTCTACCTCTTCCCCCCGGACATGGCTCTCATGCCACGCGCACGACGCACTAGCGGCGCGCGCGCGGCACGCCGCGGCTCGACATGGCGCACACACAAACACACAAGCGGGCGGGGTGTACGCCGCCCTTTTAGCGGCGGCGCGGCGGCGGCGGCGGCGTCTTTTGCGGGGCTGGCCGCGGGGCGCCCTTGCCGCGCAGAGGGCGCGGCAGCCGGACGCGGCCGCCGACGGCGCCGCGGACGGCGCGTGCTTGGTAGAGGAGCGCGGGCGCGAGGTGGCGGTGCAGCCAGCGGCGGGTCTGCGGCAGCGCGATGAGCGCGAGCAGCACCGGCGCCTACCCAAGACAGCGTGCTCGCGTGGCGCTCGAGCACAGCTCCGAGTTGGGGCGCGAGCCGCACACGCGCCGGCGGGAGCAGCGTCCTCGCGAGCGGCTTGACGCCGACGTGCGAGCGCCAGAGGGCCTGGCGGCGGAAGGACTCGTAGTGCTCGCGCGAGGCGGCCTTGAGCGAGGCGAGCCCGTCGATGAGCAGGAAGCGGCGCAGCGCCGGCAGCTCCGCGTGCGACGAGCCCGGCCGCTCCGAGAGAGCGTTGCCCCACGGGTACCGCCTTCCGCGCGAGTCGCGCCTCGACTCGAGGTCGGTGGCGGTGATGATGCAGACGGGGGGGTGGGCCACCGCGATCTTGTGCTTTTCGAGCTCCGCGACCACCAGCTCGCGGAAGGCGGCTAGCTCCTCGCTCGTCATCGTGTCGCCTAGGCGGGCAGCTCACAGACACGTCAGCGACACGTCAGCGACGCCCCCTCGCCACACGGTGCGGTGTCGCCCTTGGCAAGGACGGGCACGATGGGCGCCCGTCCCTGCAGCCGGCGCAAGAAGGCGTAGTCGATGGCCTTGGCGCGGTGCGGCGCGAAGAAGTACAGGATCACGTCGACGCCCAGGTTCTGCGTCGACGCCTCGGTGGCGCTCCTCCGGATGGCGCGCTCCTGCGCGAGGGAGCGCGCAAAGCACGCGTCCAAATAGTTGGTGGCGAGGGCGAAGGTGCGGCGGAGGTCGAGCAGGTCGCCGTAGCCGGGCGTGTCGACCAGCTTGGCGCTGAAGGGCACGCCGTCCAGGTCGAAGTGGACGGTCTGCTCGAGGATGGCAAGCGTCGGCCCGGGCGGGCCGGAAAGGTCGCGGAGGAAGAGGTTGGAGAACAGCGTCGTCTTGCCGACACCGGCCTCGCCGACCGCCATGATGGTGATGCTGTCGCCGTGCTCATCGAGCCCTCGCAGCCGCTGCTTCTGCAGGCCTGACTTGAGGTCGCTCGCAAGGCTGGCGTCGACTCGCTCGCTTTCCGTCATCGCGGCGCCAGCCTCAGACGGCGCGGGCGCGTCCGCCGGAGTGCTCGCCTGCGCTGCGAATAGGCAGAGCGTCAGCATCGCCGCTCAGCAACTCCCCAACTGAAGCCCCCCCCCCCCCCCCCCCCGCGGCTCAGGACGCCGCGCGGCGGGCCAGCCGCTCTGAGGTGCGCCTCTGCGACGGAGGCGCCGCCGGAGAGGCCGCCTTGGGCGTGGAGACGCTGGGGGCCGATGCGCGGCTCCGCAGCAGGGCGCGCGTGGCCGCGATGGCTCCGGTCCGCGTGCGCGAAGGCGTGCTGTGCGGCGAATCGGCGGCGGCGGAGCGGCTGTCCGGGGCGAGGGAGGCGATCAGCCTCTCCGCCAGCGTCGCCTTGAGACCCTGCGACGAGCGTTGCGAGTCTGGTCACTCGTCCGTGCCGCCTTCGGCTCTCTGGGTGGCGAGGGGAGGGGAGGGAAGAGGCTGGCGGCGCGCCTGCATCGAGAGGCCCCGCTCGTGCAGCTTCGCGCGCAGCTCGACCACCTTCATCTCGCGCACCCGCTGCTCGGTCAGGCCGTCGGCCGGTGCCTCGCCCCTCTCTTGCGGGGCGGCCTCGGAGACCGCGAGCGGGGCACTGTCGGTGTGCGCCGCCTTTGGCGCTCCGCACTTGCAGACGCCAAAGCTCCCGGCGAGGTCCAGCCGGAAGGTGTCGCACGCGGAGGCGCGGCCGGCCGCAGGCGCCGGAAGCGGACAGGCGCCGGCGGTCACCGCGGTCACAGTGGCTCCGTCGCGCGGAGTCGGCTCGCCGGACGGCTCTGCGGGCGGTGCGGGCTCGGCCGGCTCGAAAGACTCGGCCGGCTCCAAAACCTCGGCCAGCTCGAACGCCTCAGTCGGCTCATTCGTCTCTGTGGGCTCATCGAGCTCGGTCGGCGACACCGGAGCCTCGGTGGTGGGCTCGGCGGTCTCTGCGGGCGGCGTGGCCTCAGCTGGCTCGGCGGCGGTGGACACGGGCTCGGCCGCAAGCTCCGTGGAGTCGGAGGGGTCGGAGGGGTCGGAGGGGTCGGAGGGGTCGGAGGGGTCGGAGGGGTCGGCGACTGGTGCGGCCGCCGGTGCGTCGAGCGGCTCAGCCTCCGGCTCCGCGCAGTCGGGGACCTCTGCGCCCCGCAGCTTCAAGCGGACGAACTCGAAGTGCTGCGCCTCCCCGGCGGGCGGCTCGGCGGGCGGCTCGGCGGGCGGCAGCCCGGCGCGGACCTCGACCTGGAGCGCGTGCTTGGGCTTCGCAGGCTTGGAGAGGGCGGCGGCAAAGGCGGTGGAGAGGTGCCGGAGCATCCCCTCCCTCCTCGCCTCCTCCTCCGCATCGCGCGCCGCCTGCACCTCGCGGATCTTGCGCACGTCGGCGACGCCCCACGGCTCGCCCGCTTGCGTCTCCTGCGCAGGCGGCTGCGGCTGCGCACGCGCGGGCTTGGGCTTCTCCACGCGCACCTCCTCGCTCACGGCCTTCTCGCCCTGCAGCCGCTGTGCCCGCTTGGCCGCGGAGCGATACTTCTTGCCGCCCCAGTGGGCACGGAGGGCGCGGATGTCCAGCGGGACCTCGTGGCCAGTCGGCACGCACAGGACGCGGAGCCCGAGGAGGCGCGCGTCCGCGTGAGCCTCGAGGAACGTGTCCACCTCTGCGCGGCGCTCGGCGGCGGCTCGGCCCTCGTGCTTGTGCTCCTCGGGCGTGTCGCCTCGCTCCCTCTCGAGCACGCCGCTGGACCCAAAGACGGTCGCCTCCGCCGGCGCCACACCGCGGACAGACTGCAGAACTCCGGTCTTGCCAAAGGCCGTGAGCTTTGAGCCGGGCGTGCGCTTGCCTGCCGTGGCCCGCTCTGCGGGCGTCGTTGTCTTCTTTGAGCCGGGCGTCTGCTTCGAGCCGCTGCGCCCCGGAGTCAGGTTGATGATGCTGCCGAGCGCGCGGCGGGGCGAGGGCGTGCTGGCGTGGAGCATCGGGAGATCGGGAGGGCGAGCGGGAGGAGAGGAGCAGAGGAGCAGAGGAGCAACGAGCCACGTGGCGAGCTGCAATTTGAAACGCGGGCAAAAGAATTCCATGAGCGTGCTCTGTCTCTCTGTCTCTCTCTCTCGCTCTCTCTATCTCTCTCGCTCTCGCTCTCGCTCTCGCTCTCGCTCGCTCGCTCTCTCTCTCTCTCTCTCTCTCTCTCTCTCTCTTCCCCCCCCCCCACATTCGCAATCGTGGGATCGCTTGTCATGTGAGAGAGTGCGTTGTGTTCTTGTTTGGTATCCGCTTTCTCTCTCTCACTCTCTCTCTCTCTCTCACTCTCTCTCTCTCTCTCTCTCCCCTACTCCCTCCGCTCTCTCTCTCTCTCTCACTCTCTCTCTCACTCTCTCTCTCTCCCCTACTCCCTCCGCTCTCTCTCACTCTCTCGTCAGCCGACACGTAAGACCGCGCAGGCGGGGAAGCGGAGACGAGACTCTCTCTGGACTCTGCCGACTGCCAGAGTGCCAGTCCGTACTGGGGAAACTGCACAGTGCACTGCACTATGCAGCGCGCTGGCACACGCCGGCACACCGGCTCCACCCCCTCCACGTTATAGGCGCTCTCAACCACTCAAGAAAAGAAGAATTATGTTTACGATGAGCGGCCAGTCCCAACTGCCCGACTGCGGTCTCCGCGGGCTGCGGGGTCTCCCAAACACGTCGGCCGCCCTGCGCCCGCGCCCCAGCGCCCAGGCCCCCAGCAGAGAGCAGTTTTCTCTCCCGGCCGCCCTGCGCCGCCCCAGGCCCCCAGCAGCTCTCCCGGGCGCCCTGCGCCGCCCCAGGCCCCCAGCAGTTGTCTCCCCCACCGCGAGCCATGTGCCACATGCCACGACAGCGGCGCGCCCTTCCCACACCGCGCCGCTAAACTAAGGTCTCCCGGCCGCCGCGCCGCTGACGCCGCGCGCGCTCACGGCGCGGCGGCGGCACGGGCACGCATCTAGGCGGCGACGAGCCGGGCGAGGCCCTGCTGCACGGGCGGCGGCAGCGCCGCGGCGCTGGCCTGCAGCGCCGCCGGGTGCGCCGCCTGCCAGCCGAGCAGCAGCCGCTGCATCTGGGACGCCAGCTCGGCGCCCGTCGCCTCCTTTGCCGCGGCCGCGCCCAGCACGCCGAGCGCGAGCGGCAAGTCCGCGCCGAGCGGCAGATCCGGCTTGCCGGCGCCGGCCCGCTCGAGCACCTCGCACAGGCAGCGGAGCGCCGCCTGCGCGTCCTCCTCGTCGGCATTCTTTAGCGGGAGGTGCGAGAGCCAGAGCGGCGTGAGCGGCGCCGCCGTGCCCGCCGCCTCGAGGTGCGCGTGCCTGTGCGAGAGTAGCTTCCCGAGCGCGAGCGCCGCCGCCTGCAGGGCGTGGCGCGGGCGTGGCGCGGATGATCTCGCCGTCACCATCTTGGCGCCATCTCGGCGCCATCTCGGCGTCATCTCGGCGCCATCTCGGCGTCATCTCGGCTGCGTCTCGGCTACGTCTCGCCTCGGTCCGCTCCGCCATCGCGGCGCAGCGCGCGTCGGGCGCCTGCAGCACGGCGGCGAGGCGGGCCGCCGCGTCGGCCGTCGCCGCGCGCGAGAGTAGCTTGCCGCCGTGCTTGCCGACCGCGCCGAGCGCGTGCGCCGCCGCGGCCGTCCGCTTCTGCTTGCCGTCCTCGAGCGCGACGGCGGCGTGGATGTGCGGCAGCGCGAGCTGCGTGTACCTCTTTGCCGCGTCCTGGCCGCCAAACTCGACCAAATCGGCGAGCGCGTAGAGCGAGGCCGCCTGGTGGTTCTCGTCGGCTGCGAGCCACTGCCCGACGGCGGGCAGCAGCTGCGCCTCGAGGGTGGGGACGATGGCGGCGCCGTGCAGGCGGAGGAGCTCGCGCATCGTGTGCACGGCGGTGAGGAGGAGCTCCCACTCCTCGTCGAGCTCCTGCGCGCGCGTGGTGCGGGCGCGTCACGCCCCCCGCTCCCCCCGCCGACTTTTTAATCGTGTCCCCTCTCGCTGCCGTCTTTTCATTCATACTCCTTTTGCTCATTCTACGGCTCTCTTTTTTTTCACGATGGTTCTTCTACCTTTTCTACCGCCCTGTGGGACTTTATTTTTTTCTGACTCTCTTCTCGGTTCCACCCTTGCCCCTCTCTGCCGGGCCCCCCCTCTTGTTCTTTATCGATGTCCCCTAGATCCCCCCCTTCTATTCCTTGGCATTACCCACCCCCTCCTCAGTTTT